TTTATCAACTTTTATCAACTTTTTATCAACTTTTTATCAACTAAACTGTCCACCCCCCCAACTGAAAGCACACTGTGCACAATCATACCTTTGTCTTCTGAGGTGCCATTTTGGTCATCAGAGTGAGAGGCCAGTGTACATAGTTTACCCAATTTGCTGCAGTCTGGCTTTGTGCCAGGATGCACAGGAGCCTATGGCAGAGTGGAAAGAATTGTCTTTAACATTGTTTTGGTATCCTCATTTTCCACCACAACACATGCCAAGATCCTCAGCACACCATTTGAGTTTCTTTGGGGTGGAACTTGGCTAGAAGAAGCCATTTGTGTTGTCAATAGTTTTTCTTTGGTGCTCGTGTAACACCAGTTGCATTGAACAAAGCATGTGCTGATCAAGTGGTAGAATGAGATTTTGGACAAATTAACAAGTTGAACCTCCACTGGCCACGGGGTTCTATGCCATGGCTTCTCACAAAGAGTGACTGCAAACCAACATTTTGTTTCTAAACTGCTAAATTGAGAGCTATGTTGACCATTGTTCAACAATGTTGCTCCTTTGACCAGCACTTCAGTATAATTTGGTAACCTTTGATTGGCATTTTCATTTCCAAATTGTTTAGTTAGCTGGTTGTCCAATTGCTCGGCCGTGCTACTTTCTGACTACTCAGTGCTTTTATTTGCTTATCATGTGTTTTTATCAACTTTATCAACTTTTATCAACTTATTATCAACTTTTATCAACTTTTGTTATCAACTCTTATCAACTTGTTGTCAACTTTTTTATCAATTTATTATGAAGGTGGCAGCCAAGAAAGCCAAGCAGGCAGCCAAGAAAAAACCTGCTGCAAAGAAACAGTAGGCTACACAGCAAGCAGCTCAAAAGCTGTGTACACAGAGCTCAATGGAGTTCATTCAGGTGTTCAGGAGTTCAGGTGTTCAGGAGTTCAGGTGTTCAGGAGTTCAGGTGTTCAAAAAAAGCATACTGACTGCTGTTCACCTGTCTCACTGAAATTTGGACAGAGCTCTGTGCCAAAGAGTGAGTTGGGAGGGGGGGTGGCCTGGGTTGCTGCATTGGATAGGGGCTGTGGACTGGTGTAATGCACACTGAAAGGCAGCTTTACAAACTTAGAACAATTTCCACTAGTTAGTATGTCACTATGTGTTTCTACCCAATGATGTCTTGCAACATCAAAGCTTACATGTGCTGCAACCTAGGGTAATTCATGTGTGTTTCTGCTTTGGTGATGCTACCAGCCCTATAAAAGTTGATTTGGGAAAGTGTTGCCTGACCTTGTGCAAAGACACCTCAACCATCCAATTCAACACCACATGTTGGAGTATGCTGGTCTCAAGCACTTGCACTGGCCATGAAGCAGCTAAAGTGTTACATCCAGGGCCTGCTTTACACAATACATTTGAGTTTGTAATAAGGCTTCTGATTGCGTGCCCAGGCCCAATCTTCCCCCCTGCAGCCTCAGCAACATTACTGTTACCAGTTCTTTTTGCTGGAAGCAGGCCCCAGCATACATAACTAAAATTAAAGGAGCCTCCTTTTCAAGGTTGGCTAAATTTTAGGAGGCTCCTCTAAGACACTTAAAAGTCATGAGTCTAGAAAGCTACAATTTCAACATGCCTGCCCCCCATAGGCCATGGCATGTTGCATGGCTGGGGCATTACCTGCTTGTGAATTAGTGATTTCAAACCTGTAAGTGATCAACCATTAGCCTCAGTTGGGAAGCCACCTGTTGGCAATGTTACTTGTCAGTTGTTTGCATTGAAGCAACCAAGTGTAGACTCTCCAATGTACCCAACATGTGCCATTTGCAAGGTCTTTCATTAACGTACATAACACTGTCTAGAAAATGTGTCAAGTGCTTAAACTTTGTTTTCATACCCCACACTTGGTATACCACTTGCTCATTATATGTATACCACTTCTAGTTGAAGAGGTTTATTTTGGAGCAGCCTCGAGCAAGCCCTTCTGGCAAGTTTCGAGACTCGTCCCCTCCCTCCAAAGCTCCCAGACATCGGCCAGTATCTGGGGCGCCATCTCCGGGGCCGCTCCGTGCGCCCCCACACACAGCAGACCATGCTCGAACCCTCCACACCCTGAGCACTCGTACCTTCTCTCACGCGCTCCCCTTGCAGTCGCAAGGGGTCGGCGGATATCAGTCTTTTTTGGTTTTCGGATTCCGCTTAGCGGTGTCGGAAAGTAATTCTTTTTCCGCTCCACGGATCTCCCACAAGCCTCGGCCTTTTGCGACGATGCTTGGGTCCGATCGGCCGTGGTCCAACAAATGAGTTCCAAAGCGTGCATAGACCTGAAGAGTAGACCTGTAGAAGGAGAATGCAACCTTTTCTGAATAGTAGACCTGGGTCGGCATACAACCTGTTCTGAATAGTAGACCGGTTTCTTCCCCCGATGTGATGCTCATGATTATCAGACCGGCCGAAGTCATCCAACTGCAGTTGGCTTGGACCCCCTGAGAGATTCTAAACTAGATGCCGACGAAGCATTGTCTTCCCCATGATGTAGTTACAACATGCTTTCCTTAATCCCCGCGAAGACTTGCCCTTCCTGTTGGAAAATTGGTGCAGATCAAACGAGGTCCAGTTGCCCAACGGCAGGGCACCTGTGTAGCACGAAAGGAAACCTCAGTACAGGACCTCTTAGCCAACTACTCTTTGCAGCGCAGCAGGCTGAGATTGGTGCACACATGCATTGTATGTAACATCAATCTTAAAAAATACTACATGTATTCTATTGCATGTACTTTTGTGCAATGAATATAAGATAATATAAGCTACCTTGAGTAAAGCAAGCATTTACACCGACCTTGGTGTGCCAGCATGCGTGACTTGTCCGAGCCAGTGTGTTGCTGTGCAGTCGACCTTCGGCCACCGGCCTCAGGGCGTGGTTTTGTTGGCAGCCCCGGTGTCAAAACCGCCTTCCCGTTTTGGAAGGGTCGAAGGATCCCATGCTGGGCAGACTGGAACCCAATAGCCTGGATTACTGGAAGACGATCATTTCCCTTCCGAACCACTGGTGGAAAGTTGCCCCAGGATTCTTCGCCAGCCTCGACCGGTCATAGCGATGCCGGGCTTGGCCAAGACCTCACTCCGGATTCCATATGCGGTGGGGCGTGTGCCCATGCGGTTGATCTCCCATCATGGGTCCGAACTGGCGAACCCATGCCGAGCATCTTTGGCAAAGCCTTTGGTTAAATCGCGGTTGGAGTCTTTTTCAGGGTGGCCCCACAAAACACCAACAAGCCTCTCTGATGGAACCCGCAGCCGCAAAACGGTTTGGCCCCAGGTTTTTGTGGCCCCATGTGGCAGATGCAAGTCGCCGAAAGGTCGGATTCCGCTCCGGCGCCGTGCGCGTCGTTGGGCGGCGCGGCGTGGGTTTTGCCCACGTTGCCCTCACCCTTAGTTCATTAAGTAGACACCTATATACTTAATGTAGGCCTACTAGGTAACTTGATGTAACTTGCTACTATCTAGGACGCAGGAGAGCAATCGCTTCTTCCAGGAAGACCCCTCCTGAGGTCAAGGGCATAGCTCCCTGAAAGAAGCACACGCACTATTCATTTGCAGGCCATTCATTTGCAGGTCCTCGGTCATGGTAGAAATCAAGAGGTCACTCTTCGCTGTTTGGCCAGCGGGTGATTTGTTTGGTAAGCCGTGAGAAAAACATATCTGTGTATATATATATATATATACGTCTAGGAGTTTCAGCGACGAAAGCTCTTGCCAGCTGGATCTCTCTTCTATTATAACTATGATAGCAAGCATTGGTGAAAGCAGCTCTTGGACCCCACGCCCAATTTTTCAGGACTTTTATAGACCCTCTGGCGGCTCAACCCCATCCCCTGGCATTGCCCACTTGCCGACCTGCCGCATACTTACCAGCCCTGAGTGAAATGATTTGAACAATAGAAGGACGATCCTAAGTGTCAGAAGCTGCGAAACTGACAGATTCCAGATCTAGCAAAATCACATGATAGCCTCCTTTTCCTTCGTTGTGGTGAACTGGCCCCCCTTCCCACCAACCACGGTTCTTCGCTCCACCCCCCACACGCTGTAAACACACCACCTCCCTCCACCTGGTCCTCCGAAGCAGGGTTCCACACAGACCAGGAAGCCCTACGACTTTGTCCACCTGCCCTGGTCCAAGCTCGCTGTGGTGAATTTCACCAGTCCCGAGGCCGCTGTCTTAGTCCAAGCGACGGGAAAACGCCAGGTCTCGGGTAGGTCGGAAGGGAAGGGAGTGGAGACGCGTGTCCATGCGGGCAAGAAAGGCCAGTGTCTGTCTTTTTGAATGCTCAATTATAGTGGATTAACAGTAGATAGCACGGGTGGTTTATCTGGACCCATCTAAAGGACGTGACAGGCATCGGTGCCATCTACTCTGAAACTACTACTAGTACCATATTGAACTGTCACACACACACACACAGGGGGTGCTCTCTCCCAGTGCTTTTGCCCGCCCACCGACGCCAGGCGTGCGTGGTATGTTTTGACATGATGAAAATGGTGGCTGGCCCCTCGGCCCGAGTTGCTTGCCCCGAACGGAGCCCATTCGACGCCTTTTCAGCAGCTGAAGGGCGTGGGCTTTCATGGAAGAGGTGTTGTATAGTGTTGGAAGCTTTTACAGGATTTACAGGGTGCACTTGTGAAGAACATCTAGCAACCAAGGATTTCAGCTAGGTACTTTGCCAGCTACCATTCTGCGACGTTTGTGTTCAGCCTTCGGCCTTTTGTGGCGGATGTCCACACGTATTGCACAAAAGGATGCACTGGGTTGCACTGGTGGCAAGATAGCCCAGTCAAGTGCCCAGTAAGGGAACATAACTGCTAAACACGTGGTCATCGTCCTCATCAACACGATGAAGTTCCCTTGCACCTCCATGGCACCGTCTTCAGACGGTCAATCGTTTGGACTCTGGGCTGCCGTGTTATCCTGCCTGAGGCATGCCCGGGGTGAACATCACAGATGCATCTGGGCGTGAGGAGGGTGTGTCAACCAATGCGATGAAAAAACTGAGGACACTGAGGGCTCCAAATGAGATGAGGGCGACCCAAGCCTGGCCCTGTTGGTTCAAGGTGGCTGATCCTGACCATCCCCTAAGAGGTCCCTTAGTGGCGTCCATCAGATACAACGGTCCACCATGTGGACGGGCACAGACCTCCCGGGTGATGCGCAGAGACCGGGGTCTCGGTCCGACCGACCTCTCGCACGTTGCACCATGGAGAACGCAGAAGATGCACATATATGGTGTGACTATATAATACTCTATATAATATATATATATATGTACATTATTACTATATATTACAATTGTATATATATATATGTTATAGACATTTATTTGGCTAGCATACCATGCTACCCTCTCACTCCAAGGTGAAGGGTATTTTTTGTTTTGCTTTTTACATGGCCCCTTGACACATAATATATTCAATATTGCATAATGTTCTGAGGGTATATTGGTTCGGGTTACGCTTTCTTTTCCATAGCGACATCACGTAACAATGCACGCGGGCTCTACACCGGAACCACACAAAACTGTCACTGATGCCTGGGGCCTATAGTGTAGCACAAACAACTAAAGAAAACAACAAAAAATATAAAAATTATATACGTACATCGAACACAAGCGAAAGAGAGAGAGAGAGAGAGAGAGAGACCGCCAACCTGATGGAAAAAAATCACAACAGACAGCGAAGACTGCCCCTTTTCCCCAAACAGTTTACTAAAGCTTTGAGAGGAACCTGGGATCGTCCGTGTTCTCAACTGAACGCGTGGCCTTCTCGAGATCCCCGTGGGGTCTTGGTGCTTGAAGCATTTGGGCCAAGTGTGTTTTTGAGCATGCTGCAGTTTCCGCCTTCCAGGCTTTTCTTGCACCGCTTCCCGCTAAGGGACCACTTCGCAGTACTTTCCCGGATTAATTGGCCGATTTGTGTTGATGCAGTTCGTGCTGCTCCCATGCAGCACCCTCTTAGAGGCTGTTTCGGCATTTAGGTTCGTGCACGTCCAGACCCTATGCCCTTTTCGCTCGCTCGTATTTTGCCGGTTAGTGTCTCACTGTGGTCAGGCATTAGTCGGGCCTGCAATCATGCAGCTTGAAGATGAGAAAACAGCAATTTACTGTTGGGATCCTCTGTTAGAAAAGACCAGCCGCAGTCTCTGGCCGCGCCGGTGAACGCTGCAGTGGTTTTCTTTTACGCTTATTGTCCTATTTCTCCTGGTGTGCAGCTTGGCCGCTGCCAGTCGGTCTCCGGACCTTGTCTTCCTGTTGTCCTCTTGTTTCTCTCTTTTCCTCCTCTTGTCCTCTTCTTGTCGCCCCGTTGTCCTCCTCTTGCCCTCCTGTTGGCCTTTCCTGTCCATTTCTTGTTCTTGACTTGTCCTCTTTTTTCTCTCTTCCTCCTCTTGTCTTCTTCTTGTCCTCCTGTTCTCCTCTTCTTGTCCTGTTCTTGACCTCTTCTTGTCCTCCTGTTGACCTCTTGTTGACACCAGCTTGGCCACGGCTGCCAGCCAGTCTGCAGACCTTGTTGCCTTGATCTTTTCCTCCTCTTCTCCTCTTGTTATCCTCTTCTTGTCCTCCGGTTGTTCTCTTCTTCTCCTCCTGCTGTCCCCTTGTTGTCCTTCTGCTGGTGTCCAGGTGACAGCATGGCAGCATGTAGACATGAGACCATGACAGGGTGCACGCGCGCGGGAAGCACAGCCCCAAAGCACAACCAAATGGTCCAATGCAAGAAAACAGTTGCACACGCACAAGCCTTGGCACCTGTAGTGGGTAAGTGCCAGCCGGCAAGCACGAAGACCACAGTACCGCAGCATGGCCACGTGGCAGCCTGTCAGCATGCAAGCATGACGACATGCGAGCGTGCACTACAATGTCACTACAAAGCAGCGAGGCACTACTCGTAGCAAGACAACTCCAGAAAGCAACCCTTCCTTTTCTTCTTGTTCCCCTCTTGGTGTGCTCCTCTCATGTTGTCCTGTTGTCCTTTTGGCGTTGTCCGGTCGCAGGTTGTCCTTTTTTTGTTCGCTTGGTGTGTTCGTGTTGTTTTTCTTCCCTCATCCTTTTGTCCCCTGTTGTCACTGTTGTCCCCCTCATGTCCTCAGGAGGCAGGGCCTGGGGCTGCGGCCGCCCACTACAACAACAACAGTTCTTGCCGACTAAGCTGTTTGGGGGCCTATGCTGCTCTTACTGATGGTATTCATTCTCTACATTGGCTTTTGGAAGTAGGGGTTCTCAACCCCATCGCAGAATGCAATGCTTATAATTTCCTTTGTGCAGACATTTGGTGTCTAAGTCAACCAGCGTCAACCCACAGGGAAGAGAAGCAATATGGCAGGCTAGTTGGCAGGCTTTATATTGAATTAGACAAGCATCGTCCGAACGGTGGTCTTTGGGCCATCACGGGCCGGTCCTACCGATCACTGGGCCAGCCATAAGGTCTGTGAGGCCCTGCATCATGGCTTGGCTGCGAACCTAGCTCATTTCATCACCAAGAGCCCCCTGGCACAAACGGAGCTAGTTCTTGGGGGATCAGAACTGGGAACCCAGACAATAGAATTTAAAAGACTAGCTTGCGGAATCGCGGGAATATGTTTGATTTGTTCCAGCGTCCCTGAGCCAAATCCAAGATCAGAACACAGCCCAGGTCGTACGTCAATCAATTCGCACAGCAGTTCCCACACCAGTTCGACGGTACAAACAGACAAACAAAATAAACTTTGAAACTTCCTGTTTCAGGTCAGGTTTCTTCATGTGTCCTTTCGGGAGGCTTCGCCGCTTGCGCCCCTTTCTGGATGGGACTTAACCTATACACACCTTCAACCACACCCATTCCCCAGCGGCATGCGCATGCCCCTCAGCGATCATCAGCGCACAAAGGAAACTTGTGGAATCCCTCTTCAATCTTATCCTTTTCCATTGGTGGAAGTTCCTGCAGAGCAACGAAGAACCAGTGTGTTCACAGCCAAAACGGTTTCCAATTCAATCTTTACCAGATGACCACAAAGTCCACCCTGAACTGCCCATCCATCTAGTTTGTAAGTGTGTTTTTGCATTCCCAGTTGTGAGGAATAACTGAAGAGTGATAGTGTCAGAATGTCTCATAGTAGAGAGATCCATGGAAGGGAACTATTCCATATTACGCAGGAGCATCAGGATCTAGGAGCGTCCAAATCAGCTCCCTGAGGTCAGCAAGCGTCCAAAATCAGCATGCCCTTGGTCTTTATCAGCGGACACCGGGTCCCACCACTGCTTGCTTGCCGGCTTGTGTCTTAGCCGCCTTAGCCAAATGGAGAAGGGCTTGTGTCCCTGCAATGACTTTGGTTCGCCCGGATTTGGGTGATGAATTACATGGTCTCCCAGGTCGACCTTAGGGACCAGGGAGCGCATGTAGAGCAGACTTCATTTCGGACTTCTGGGAAGCGATGGTTCAATTGTTTTGGGAAAGGTTTCAGTGGAATTGGGATCTCGAGATCCACATAGAACACCATCCACCCAGCCACCCAGCTGCCAGCGTAGTTGATTAGTTGGCACAAGAAGGAGCCAACTCCATCGTTTTTTCCGCGCTGCTTGGGCGAGGCAAGAAGCTCGGGCACGGTGGGGTCCCCTGGGCATATACCAAAATAATCCAACATATGAAGTACAAAACACAACGAAAAAAAAGAGTTTGACAGTGCCGATGCCAATGCCCAGCCTTTCGAAGCCAACTGCGTCATGGTGACTCAGCCGAATATGCCCGATCTCAATCAACAGCGACCTTCTGAGCTGAGTGTGTTCGGAAAAAGGCTTGCTGACTTGCCGATCTTCCATCAGCATGTCAGCATGCAGCATGCACTAGGACATATTAGTTGTTAAGAGTTTCAGTATATCTACAATCCCATGTTGGCTAAGGCGGGTGGAATTTGGAATTTCATGTTAGTCAGGAGGCGGAGATTCCACACTCCATATCGTCGCGAAGACAGACGGAACCCAGGTCTCGGATCAGCTCCTCCAACAGCAGAGCTTCGTGCAGCGCCAGGCCAGACGCCAGGACGGGAAGGCCAATGGTCCGATGCCAGTTTGTGCAGGTAAGAGCAGATCATGTGAAAAGTGACGTCATCTCACACACTCAGAGGTCGAAGAAGTGCCTTGGGGAGAGGGGCAGTTTTCATTTGCCCTCAACTTCCCTGAAGGTATTGCAAAGCACCAATGCCTTTTGCTTGTCAGGATGTATTGTTAGGAAGATCTTCGCAGGGCTGCGGAGTGGATCATGCCTCCGGTGGCTCGGGAAACAGAAGTGACAGAGGTTTGGGGGGGATGGAACCTTCCCGCCACCAAAGTGACTTTCTGGATCCGAAGTGACTTTGAAGGTCGCTGGGCCATCTTGGATATGTTTTAAGTGTCCAGGCAAGCCAAACCTAAGGGGCGGTTTATAGATGGGAGATTGCCGGAAAGTAGTTTGTGGGGATTTGAGCCAAAAGCACTATGCGGGGACTGTGACATGAAGCATCATGAAGCGATTGAGAACCCGATTGTTTAAGTGAAGCTGAAGCCTCTAGTAACAAGAAGCTACTAGTAACAAGGGCATTACTACACTAGTATCAGAAGCTGCTGGTAGCTCCCGGCATTACTAGTAGGAACAAGAAGCTTCTCCATGAGTGAGTAAGGGAGGTCACCACGACCCGTCTTCTGCCCATCGGCCTTAACGTGGGGCCGTCCCTCCACGTTTGGCCTGTCCGTTTCCACGCCTTTTGATCGACCTTTTGGGGTCTACGAAGCCCAGGTTGGGTGGTGGGCGTCAAGGGCTCGGCTCTGGTGATTGAGCTGTGATCCCCGATGCCATTGGTGAGCGTTCTGCAGTATAGGGCCAATTGGGAGCTGCAAGCCTGCCAACATTTGCTAAACAGTCGTTGTTTCTCGTTACCTCAGTTTAATTATATATCATTTCATCAGCCATTCAGTGGTACGAATGTAGAAGCCATGGCAATCCGTTACTGGAAGATGGAGTCCTGTCACCTCGGGTGTTGGGATGTATTTGGATGTGAGATGTTTCTGTTAGCTGTGACCGAACAAGACAGTCAGAGCCCAACTTTGTTGAGCCAACTGGGGGCACTTAGCTGAAGCTGCTCAGCAACCACGCAAACGTCTCTCAACATGAAAACACTTTGTCGTGCTTTGTCAACACCTTAGGCTCAACACCTAAGTCTTGGTGTCCCTCTTTCAGGGCTCACGACCCACAACGATTTGCCCGCAGAGCATCGAAGAGCCAGAACCACTCGGCTGCACGACCGGGCCGAACCAGAGAGCAGGGCTGCATCGACCAGGGATCATCGAGCCAACCTCGGCCCAACCTTCTCAGATGTTTTCAGTCCATCCCAGAACTTGCGGAGCATTTCTGAACAATGGTGGATCTGAGGCATAGGTCTTTCCCAGCTTTCACCTTCACACCAGCGGTGCCTTTGGGCCGGCCGTTTTGAGTGATGTTTTTCAGAGCAGCTTGAAAAGGACGCCCAACTCTTTTTTCACACATGATTGCAGGAGGCGTTCTGGGAAGCAAATGGGGAGGAGCGTTTGCCAAGCAGAGACAAGAGTCAGGCCGCTCTCCATGTCGGTGTAGGTTAGTGGATGGTGGAACATTCCCAAAACTTTGATAACCTGTGGGTGGTGCACCCCGAATATTCGGTGTTTTTGGAGCTATATAGCTAGATGCCTGTGAGAGAGAGAGAGAGAGGATAACGGCATACAGATTCTATATATAGATTGGATTTTATGCAGCCTGTCGACCAACATATATATATATATATACACACGCATCCCGGCGGACACTTTGCCGGATCACGACTTTCGCCTGAATTTCTGCCGCCGCGGCGAGAGTTATTTTTGTTTGAAAAACTGCTTGAATAAACATGATGGTTTGTTGTTTCAATGAAAAACTTCACAGCATTTCGTGCCCAAATTTGAAGATGTACCGAGCAACTTTATCCTCTCAGAGACTCAGTACGGTTTTCGCTGTGTAATTACACAGGTTTTGAATGGTTTGTGACCTGTGTTCTCCCAGCGCCACTGGTAGCGGCGCAGAAATTGGCAAAGCACAACATTTCTTTTAAGATGCTTTTTAGAAGACAAGCGAAGTATCATGCATGTGCGCGAATGCGCAGGAGGGTTCAAACATCCCACCCCAACCCATCCTACCAAGGGGTGTGAGCGTGCAAGTGAAACATGTGTTGCGAAGGATTATATATATAAGCCTGTTTTGCCACATGGCATGTGCCTTTTGTATATATATATACCTAGATCTTCAGTCCGGCACTTTTACAGGGTCCGGCGCCGGACTTCCAACTCCGGCGTTTTTCTGGATTTGGTCCGGCAGTTTTTCCAAGTCACCTTATGTGGATTCTCAAGGCTTTGCATGCTTTGCGGACCGCATTTCTGTGAAGGTAAACCCACTACTGATGCAATGATTTCGCTTGCAAAGTGTGCTCGTTTGCCTGTTCCGCTGTTTTCTCATTCCACCGGCTTCAGCATGGTTCACACTGGATCAATCAGATCCGTTTAGGTGATCTTCTAAATGAAAACGGATGAAACCGGTACAGTGCGATGCACGTGTTGAAAGACCCAAGTGGGCGGACCTAAGCTGAAAGAACATATAGGCAAACATGTACTCCCATTGTTTCAGGATGTCGGGGCGCTGGGATATAGTTCTAGCTGCGCAGGTTTTGCAGAGCCTGCCGGACAAGTTTTGGGCTGTGGAACATGTGTTGTTCAAATCTCACTGTTTTGCGGAGAGCTGCAAAAAATGTGCGTCGTAACTCCGGCGTAATTTCCCGTAACTCCGGCGTAATTTCCCATAACTCCGGCGTAATTTCTCGTAACTCCGGCTTTTTCAGTCTTCTGAAAGTTTGAATTTTGAAAAGTTTGTCAAAGAAGAGTTTTGACAGGAACCATGAAATCTGCTACTTTATTGGCGGGGCCGTCCTGAGGCAAACTCTAAAGAACATTTAAAGACAGAAGAATCATGCAGAGCAACCCACTTTGTAAAAAAGACTTTAGAGACACGCTTGCGGAGAAATAGGGGCTCCTTGCCACATACTCATTGTTTTTTCTTGGAAGTCTCTGCTTGGGCACACGTTTACGAATATTTTGTGATGGTTCTGCTCTTAGGCCATGCGGAAGATGGGCGAGCTCCAGTGTTGGGTTGTGGAATGAGTGTGTTCCAGAAAAAAACTGCTCGTGGCACAAAGGCAGTTTGCTTTTGTATGATCCAGCCTTTTATCATTTGTTTTTCAGAATCTTGGATCCGGATGTTTTTTCAGGTCTCCGGCGTTTTTTCCGGAATCCGGCGTAAATTTGTCGGATTGAGGTCCGGCACTTTTTTCCGCCCAAAGGAGGATCCAGGTATATGTACACGTGCGATTGTGCTATGTACTGTATATATATATGTATACATTGTAGAGTTTTTGATCGTTAAAAACAGCTTGTGTTCAATAGTGATGAGCATAAACATGCATTTAACCTGGATATATGTAGAAATAGTTTCACTCTTTCGATTAATAAATAGTTTTTTGCGTGATGAAATTGACGGACGGAGGCTATGATCGTGAGGACAAGCTAAGCTTTTTCCAACACGGCTGGTGTGAAGGACTGTTGCGGCTCATGAGGCTGTGGATCCCGCTGCTTAATAGATTGCAGCACAGAACAGCCCATACTGCGGGGGTTTGAATTCAGTGCGAAGTTTGAGCTCAAACGAAAGAGGCACCCTTGGGTTCATCAGAAAGGGTTGCTTCCTGCTCTTGTGTTTGGTGCTGAGGGGGGCATTGGAAGTCAGTGATGCGGATGAAAACAGTATCATCATGTATCATCAAACTTAGTGAAGCCTGTCTTCAATGCCCGTGAGGGCATTGCAAAGACGTCACCTTGAAACAAGTCCTTAAGGCCTTGCGGTTCGAAGTCTTAAGTTGTGTTCCTTCCTCAGCTGCTGTTTGCGGCATGGACTTTCTCAGAAACCGTAGTCTCCTCTCAACGAAAGCACAGAAATTAACGCGGAGCACAACGAAGGCACCTCTAGAGCCAGGTGCTCGTTGGAGTTCCTTGCGATCTGCTACAATTTCCGCGGCAAGCTGTTTGTTTTTGGACAGTGGGGTTTTTGTGGCTTGTGCCCCGGGCCTTTACTGTGGCAGCAATAGGGAGGGTGCATGCAACACCAAACATGAAGGTCATGTGCCACGAGCCTCGGAGGCATGTGCCAAGAAAGCCCGGCTGAGAGCATCATGTATAGTGTACAGAACGTGTGCAAAGGGGGTTACGCCTGATTGACGCATGGAGCGATGGTGTTGTTTTCTGACGGGTGATCAAGCAGCATCATGGATTTTCGCTTCGGCGAATTTTCGGGTCCTGCGGAGTTCGCAGTCAAATCCAAGAATTAAATAGAAACAATAAGTTACTAGTAACAAGTGCATCGTTTCTAGTAACACATGTCTTACTAGTAGTAACAAGAAGCTAGTAGAAACAATAAGCTATTTTCAAATCCAAGATGTGCCCAGAGATGGTTACCGATGATTGGTGACTCTTGCGTCACCATGCCCCGCACGGGCTGCGCGTCCAAGAAGACCTGCAATGCAGGTGTACATGGCTGGCACGCCAGTCACTGCCAGTCGCTGGCACCTCCAGGAACAGGACACGAACTCGTCTCAGAACGTGCTCTCTCACGATGTTTAAAGGAAAGTCGATGTAGAAATATTTTGTTCCTAGTAGCGATGCCCTTTGTTCCTAGTAGCTTCTTGTTTCTAATAGCGTCCTTGTTACTACTAGTAAGGCACTTGTTACTAGAAGCGATGCACTTGTTCCTAGCAATTATATGTTGGACTGGAACCAAACACCTGTGAACGTCCTCCTGGCTCTCCTGGCTGAATCGGCCTAGCATTTCTTGTATACCTACCAGCACATACCACAATTAGCTGCAAGCGCTTGTGTGGGGTTACACTCATAAATTGCGATAATTGTATACATTCGTATTCAAGTTGTCGAGAATGTTGAACAAGGGTCTTGAGGGCCACGCTTTGCATGCTTCGCCTCGCCTTTCGCCATCTTTCGCCCCTTAAAGGACTTTCCTGCTTTGACCACACTTGGTTTGGCATCCGGATTCAGCAGGTAATGATTCTTCAGTCTTCCTTTATATACAATCCGAAGCCTACTTGGCAGCCAGCGCACAACCGTGCGGGGAATCGAGTTGCGTCTCTGGCCGCGCCCGATGGTTGAGGATTTGCGCCTCGCCACTGATTTGATGGCCGAATGATTTCAAGTTTGAAGGTTTCAAGCGTAAAACAGCGTTGGCCGCGGGGGTGACGAAAATTCCAAACAAATCCCCTCTGGGAAAGTTTGAAGCCAAGGTATGCTGATGAAAATGCAGACCTTTTCCAAGGGCTTTTGTCTTGGTCATGAATGATCTCCAGATCAACAAACCAGTTTGTGACCAAACTCTGATTGGGTTTTCTTGTCCAGAATGTTCAAACTCTTGTATGTGAGTCATCACGTGATTTTCTCACATCGATTGATTTGGCCTGGTTGTTTCTGTCTTGGTAGCGCCAATCCATAGTGAGCAAGAAAGAATCATTTTGTGTTTATATGTATATATATATAATTACACTTTGTTTTTGTTTTTCTCCTGGGGGGGTTTAAACCTTGGGCAATGGATCTAGTGATGATCATAGTGAATATAGTGTATCAATACGTGTACCCCAACCTGAGACGACACTTTTGACCAGCTATTGTGTCATCGCTTAATCCCGCATGTGGGCGGGATGTTCGACACCCCCGTCCGGTGGTCCTTCTAGTCGGCCTCTTTCAAACTCGATCCCCGACGATGCAATGCTTGCTCGACAGTCTGCGCTGGAAAGTGGTGGAAAAGGAACCAGCTCTTTGGAGTGGTATCGCGGTGTGAGCTCTTTTGAGCTCCAAAGATTGAAAGACCCTGAAACCCGTGTGCGGTCGGGATGATGTTCCGAAAAACCAGCAAGTGCCACAAGGGAAACAGTGAAGATGATATATTTTTGATTAAATGGCTGTTTATCCCAGACCAGTAGGCAGATTTATATTGATTACATGATATGATCATGTCCAGTGTCCACATCCGAACAAGGGGCTTTGGGGATCGGTTGAGCAGTTCCGTTCGGCCGGACATCACCCCACCACATGGGATCCGCCGCACTCTCGCTGTTCAATAAACCGCACATGGACCATGACCGGCGTCGAAGTTGTTTCAGGCTGCTTTTAGATTCCTAGATTAAACTTAAAGCATATGTCCTTCCCGTGTTCTATAGAATTAAGGTCAGTTTGTCAATCATATGGTCGTCTCTAATGCGTCTCTAATGTTGGATCCTGAGTAGTATATACATGGGATCCAAACAAAAGGGAGGGCCTCTACAATAAACTACCACCAAAACAAATCTGGATTCCTGGGAGGATTCCTTTTGTAATTCATTGTAGTATTCATTTTCCTTCCTCAGGTTCTCTTTGTAGATATTCTCACCAATCTTTCCATCCTACTAAGAAGAGCACAAGGAAGGTTCTCGGGTTCTCTGCGGCTTTGAAGAAGAGCTAGAGAAACCTATACTTATCAATGCTCTCAGCAAGCCAGCCACTGGCTTTTTAGTACAAAGAGTTACTGTATTAAGATTGTATAGTATACCCTAATCTTCAAAGGCTAAGTTTAACTTCGACGTTGTTTCTGTCTATGTTTAACCAGGTTAAACTTCGTCGTTCTGCGGAGTCTGTTCTGTTTAAGACAACTAACATGAGTAAAACTTAGACGCACTAAGGTGTACAAGTTTAACTTCGACGTTTCTCATTGGCTAAGTTAAACTTCGACGTTGGAAGTTTTGGGGTATAAGTTCTTTTTAATGTTCTTTTTCTGAGGAAAGCCTTTGCACATTTTGAGGACCCTTAATTGATTTTGAGGATCGGGGGCCTTCCTGGTCTACTACCTTGAACATTTGTTTAGGAGCAATGTTTACATAAAGGGTTGATTAATGAATTGATGGCTTTGGGAAGCTGTCAGTTTTGAAGAACTTGAGAAACCTATATGCTTATATAATTCCAGCATGCCAGCCATCGGCTTAGTAATATTCACAGGTCTCCGATCACCGAAGGATTTACAATCCTATTCAGATAACAAAAAAGTAGCATCACCAAAAAGCTTAGCATCATGGACGGGCCTTAAAACAAACATGGTGTTCAAAGTTGTTTTTGACAAATTAGCATTATATAGAGAATCCTTTTACTTATCAGGATCCAACATTCAACATATATAACTACCTTATTCATTGTAAAGGACGGAGCAAATAGACTTAATCTTAGAATCTCAGAAAAGGCATTTGCCATCTTACGGGCATGGCTCAACCCATTCAAAAACAAACACATCAAGCACTGCATGTCCCCAACACATTCAGACAAAGAACATCAAAGAACCAAAGCCTCGCCGCACAGTGGCAAGATTACAGACCACCAGAAGATGCTGCTCCAATCGCAAGCTGCCCGTGTTGGCATGCCTCGTTTGCCCCGTTTTCATTTTTTAGGGGGCCTAGCTTTCGAGCTAAGCGCCAATAGCTTCGAAGTTGTTTATTCAATCTAAGGACCTACGCCCCAATCAGTGGCATGCCTGCTTGCTTAGAGTGCCATCCCGGAACTTTCCAAGATGAAGAAGGTGGGACTCCTGGATTCCAACGGGGGCCGTTTACAGTCATGCGGAGCACACGGTGTCATTACGCAATTCACGCATGACTGGCGACTCCATGTGCATCAGTCAACCAAATTCACTCTTGGAATGGTTTGGGCACGATTTGAGGAGCAAGGTGCGGAGCCGGCCATCGCCAGTTGAAATTGTGATAAATTTATGGATCCGAGATAAAGCATGGAAAGATATGGAAAGAAAGAGCGAGAGACAGACAGACAGAGAGACAGAGACAGCCAGCCAGCCAGCAGACAGAGAGAGAGAGAGAGAGAGAGACAGAGAAAGAGAGAGAGAGAGAGAGACAGAGAGAGAGAGAGAGAGACAGAGACAGACAGAGAGAGAGAGAGAGACAGACAGAGAGAGAGAGAGAGAGAGACAGAGAGAGAGAGAGAGAGGGAGAGAGAGACAGAGAGAGAGAGAGACAGACAGAGAGAGAGAGAGAGACAGCCAGAGACAGACAGACAGGCAGGCAGGCAGGCAGCCAGCCAGACAGACAGACAGAGAGAGAGAGAGAGACAAAATAAACCCCTCGGGCAAGGGCAGCCACGCCACCTTGGGCAGTGCGCTCGCCGGGCCTAGTTTCCACCTTCCAATAAGTCAGCATGGCAAGGCACCGTAGGGTACATAAGAAATTGTGCCTGGTGCACTGTTCCACAGGTGGGCCACGGCGAACTTTTGTAGTTAGAGAATGCAGGCAGGTACATTCGGCTACGCCACCAGCCTAGCCCAGAAACCTCACCTCTCTAGATTTCTCCTGACTTCTCATTTGCCGATGTACATGTGTCCATCGCCCTTGATTTTGAACAGATCCTCTCCAGTCCAGGCAAAACCGAATGCAAGAACTGCAGACCTGGCCATCATGTGAATGCCAGTGGGGCCACCGAATGCAGAAGTTGCGCCGAAGGCCAGGAACGTCCTTCAACTGCGTCCGACAGCACCGCCACCGGTGTCTCACAAATGTATTTGTAGTGGTGATTCCTTTATTGTTTTAACGCTTCAGGCAGCCTTATGGTCTAGCCATGTCTAGCCTGCGTGCACTTACTATAATTATTTTATATTTTTCTATTGATTGAATGGACCTTTGGGAGTAGTACGCCAAACATATGCATATGTTGCACTTCCTTGTCTTCCAGATTTCATTCGTGCGAAATGTTGTATACATTTTTCCGTGGTTGACCATATGATGCATGCATTCTATTAAGACATCCTTTTCCGTATGTCACCCCCCCACTGATCAAAAAGACTTGGTAGACACCTGTCCAGTTTGCGCACAATGTGTCGGAATGTGTCGACGGCCGTTGGTCCATGAGTCGGCCCAACTTTGTTGAGAACAGCCTACTAGACGAGGCAAAAAACCATTCAAATAAACATTCGAAGCCCTCGAGAGTCCAAACCAAAAGCGCAAGAAGAGGCCGGCCACGAGCCTGAACTCCTTGAGTAAACGGACTCAACCAAAGGACGAGCTAGTCCACACATGGCCGCCGCACGAGTGCCAAGCGCCCTTCGAGCGCCCCTCAGCCCCCAGGCAGCTATGTGGACGCCATCGGGTCACCTGTGTGCTACAAGTGCGAGGTCGGCACCTTCTCCGAGGAGCGAGGCGCCACGGAGGGAGCACATGTCCAGGGAATTTGTAGTATATAGCAGGTATAGGTTGAGTAGATAGTATACAGATGTATACATAGATGTATATAGTATACAGTAACTATAGTACAGTCTATAGTATATAGGACTTGTGTTTATACCGTGATGATATGTGATGATGTATATGACCCAGACTTCCGAGACCATTTCGAGTTTTCATCTCTGCATGCCCCGCCCTGTGACGCTCATTATCCTCGCTGGATATCTAAGGCTGCGGTCTCCAGTGGCAATCATCTAGTCATGGCTGATATGCATTTAGACAAGTTTAGACAAGTTTTTTGCCCCAGCCTTGGAAAGTTAATTGAGGCCTAGCTAAGATAGGGGTTATACAAGTTTGCTGAGCATTCTGTGCTGTATGTCCTTCTTGGGCCGCATAATGCGCACACGGTTGTCCAGTTTGACCGTAGTGACGCGGCGGCTTACCCAAACACACCACCAACATGATTCACACCATCCAATCTCTTCGAAACTTCTGGCTCTCTGGGTCCATGGAGGTCGAGGCACAGACTGGTTGATAGTAATAAGGTGGAACATTTGTTTCACTGGTTGGTAAGTACTTGAATTCCGACCTATATAGCTTGGATACTTCTCCGTCAGCCATCCGTCAGCTTCCTTCGCGAGCGTTCCTTCGCGAGCGTTCCGACCGGGGAGGCAGTGACCACTGCATCGAGTGTTCAGCGGGGACCACTGCAGAGAGGTCGGGACCGCGACCGACGGGACGGACCACCGACGGTCTGGAGTCTGGACCGTGCGTGTCTCTGACGTGAAAAAAAACAATGGGAGGCCCGGTGCGCCCATGGTAAAGTGGACCATTTATGGGAGGTCGTTTTGGAAAGGGCTGAATTGGACTGGAAGCTGGAGAGGTCAAAACAGAGATGGACAGGATGTTTGGGGATGCAGGTTTTGATCTACTGTATTTCGGATCACTCTACTCAGGCACTAGGATGAAAAGTATGAAACAGATGGCAACACTTCACGAAACTCCCATGTATTGCAATAGATAGTGAAGTTGGGCCATCTACTTCCATTTGGTGTTTGTTTGGGTTGCACGGTCATATTCAATTGCTGGCCCTAGTTGGGTGATTCGTCACCAGTGGGAGTCTTGCATGGAGGAAGGTAGAGAGGCCTGGCCTTGAGAAGGTTAGCTTAGAAACAGTTTCGAAAAACATTAAGAAGCAGAAAGCGCCAAGATTGATCAAGATTTGGGTGTGCTGGGGGTTGCCACGGGGTGGTCAGAGGCCTCAACCTAGGGTAGTTACATATAGCCAGGTAATATTATTATGCACACGCATGTTTTTTAATTCCCAGGATCAGAAGCGGGTAGTATCATAGCCTCACCCTCAAGAAAAGGCATCCGTAATCATGGGCCTTTGGACTTGGAAGCTGGCTTACTGCTATAAACCATTTATGACGAGTGATTTTGCGGGTGTCCATTTTTCACTCTCTCGCAGCTGGGTCGTGCAAAAACACCAAGGCAGTTCAGAACAAGTACCGCAAAGGAGAAGGATCCCTGAATCCCTTCACATATATAGATGCATGATGCATTGATGAACCCACCCTGAAATGGAACCGCTTTCGACGCCGGCTTCAAGGCGTGGCTTGACGCTTTGTTCTGACTGTGAGCCAGGAGGGCCGGTGGGGCGGGGGGTGGGGCACAAGGGTAGTGTCAAGACTGAGACGCGTGGATCGAGTTGCAGGTGGAAAGATTGAGAAACTTAAGCGTGTAACCCACTCACTTAGAAACGACTTAACTTGCAAACCCTGGTTGAAGAACTATGAAGAACTTATTTAATCTCTATGGAACTGCCGTAGTTCATGTGTGTGTACATGTCGGCGGTCTTATTCACCCACAACAGGAGTGCAGCTGCAAAGATCGTGCATAACTACAGGTTTAGTCCCTATTCTAATGAGCAGAAAAGCTCTCGATCAGCTACAAGGCCTACCCAGTCAGTAGATCACCTTTAAGCTTTTTGGGGGATTGGTTCCTCTAAACATGAACAGGTGAACAAAGGTTTAATCCCTATTAAGGGATCCTTATTCTTTAGGCAAACGGCTCGGGAGTCAGAAGGCTTTGCCAAATGGGCGGTCTTAGGTGGGTCTGAACGGGACGCCGCCCCCCTCATACAAAATCTGAGCCAAAGACCAAGACTCGGAGCTGCAATTTATATTTCATATGATGTGATGTATTTGCACCATTTTGCACCTCACCACCTCCTTCCTCCATATTCTCTTTCACCTACAGGCTCTCCAAACTGAATAGGTTCCGAAGCGCCAAATGGCCACCGTGTCAATCATCCTCCCCCACCTCCGATACCAATGCGTCGAGGCTTCTTCGCCGGGGAGGTCGGCTCGGGCGGCTGCGAGGCCTGCGAGCCAGGCACCTTCAGCCGCTGGGCAGCATGGAGCGGGTCTCGCGAAACCCGCGCGAAACCGGTCGGAGTCTTTGGGGGAGTTGACTCTGGTGACTTCAACAAAGGATGTTGGGACCCTGTGATGCTTTGAGTTTTGAGAGTTCCAGGTTTGGTTGGAACAGGATGACCTTTGTCCATTTGTAGATCAAATGGAGGATCTCCATCCAAATTCTGATCTGGCTGAGGTCACGGATGTCTACACATCGTCCACAGCGCTTGTCTATATGATTTGCATTCATGCACGCAGATAACTTTGGTATGCAGGGAGTAGTTGTGCTGAGAAGGTGCACCAAACTATGTAAAGCGATAGGCATTCCAAAAGAGAAAGAGATATCCTGTAACCACATACAACACTCCATTCAACTTGGTGTAAACCAACGGTGTGCATATTCACGCGACGGCCGATCAGGTACTTTGAACCTGCGGTGCCAATGTTTCCTGCAGTTGTCGTACCATCTGTCATCCAGGGTCATTGAACCATTCTGAAGCGATAACCTTAGCGGCAACTTAGCAGGCATTATTATATATATTTGTTTATAACAGTATATAATAACAAGTTGTTACACGAAGATCCCCGGCCAAGGGATAGACCCACGAATCACACACCTAGATATAGACAGCACCTGAACATACCTGAACAGCAACGTGCTCAATTGCATTTTCGAGCCTGTTTGGAATGGATTCCAGAGTCATGTTGAATTTAAAGCTTGTTGATTTCCACAGGAATGTAAAGTGATAGGGTGTCCCAAAAGACCGATAACTTTCTCCTTTGCGCCTGTTTGAAACAATGACTTGATGATTCTTTTTTGGGGTCGGTAGTTCAACATACTAAGCATCTGCAACCAAAATAGACATCCGTTTAAAAAAAGGACACGTTTGGGAAAAACACCTGTGGCTCACCAATAAACGCCCTTAGCTTGTGTATAAACGCCAGTGGAATATAAGAAAAAACTCAGAAAACTAGAGGCCACAGACTCAAATAAAAGGCTGTGACTTCAGAATATATTTTTCACGCCGCAGATCGAACAAAGACACTTGAAGAAGTTCCAGGTATGTCCACCTGCAATTGTGCATACATTCCATTCGGGGTTCTTGTGCTCAATTGCCAGGCAATGTCGCCTTGTTTGCAAAGCGAACTATGGCAAGCGTTTGGTGGACTGAGACCTTCTTTCAACACCACAAATTCCATTCCAGGGTCCAGGGTTCTTTGTAGCTACGACCCGGAGGTAATTTGGAATCCCCGATTTGGTTGTACCATGTTGTACCTACCCCCGCGGGTTTTGCGCGGCAAGCTATCGAAGGTCTCTACTTCGAGTTGAATACAGACCTTTTTTGATCATGATGGATCCTCACATCAGTTTCCACAGTTCTGACGCTGCAGGCACTTGTTTCTACTAGCTTATTGTTTCTAATAGCTTATTGTTACTACTAGTAAGGCACTTGTTACTAGAAGCGACGCACTTGTTTCTACTAGCTTCTTGTTTCTAGGGTTGGTTTCCAATGCTCCCCTTCTCCTTTTTACCACTTCCAGGTGACGAGTATGGGATGTCGCTGTGCGAGCCTTGTGACGAAGGCAGGGGCCAGTGATGGCCGCGGTCGTGTTTTCCCCGTGTTTTCCCGTGATGGGCAGTGGCAGCTGATGTTTGATAGGAGAATGGTTCCGGTTTGGCAGACATTTACTGTATACTATATAAAATTCTCAGCTCAACTTTTTTGATTCTGCTTCGACTCTTTTTACATCCCCAGGCCGACCATCTTTTGCATGTTCGCGCGTGAGCAAGGACCGTCGCGATTGGCTGCGACCGACGATCCCACCGAGGAGATGCACTTCCCTCGTGGGCCCCGGTCGCCGGAAAACATCGGGAAACCCACGTTCACTTGCACCCTGGTCCTCACTCATGCGGCACGATTTGGCAGGCTTCTTTTCAGATATGCAGGGCATGACCTCCTGCAGAGAGTGCAGCTTGGCCCAACCCCGGCATCCGGTCAATTGTTGGCGTTCATGGGCTGGCTGGGAAGTCATGGTCAGTTGCTAGGTTCCTTAGGTGCCACATTTTCCATCCTAAGAGCTACTGAGCTTGTTGGGTACTCGAGCTTGAGGGAATCGTAAATAGACCACTTTTGTTGAACCAGGAGGGTGCAGAGCGCGGTGTCTGTTTTTTCTTTTTTTGGGGTGCAGCCTGGGAGTATAGTATCACATTGAGTAACACATACGTGATGTATACTATAGTACGCATTGGCATACGTAATGTATATGTAATATGTATAAGGTTTGGTTTTTTTATAGCATGTTATATATATACCCCGAGCATCTGAACCCTACAAATTTGTCGGGTTTGAAAACAAACCTCGGGTTTAGCCGTGACATATCAAAGTTTCCGTGGTCAACACATTGTTCACAATATGTTAAAAACATTCAACACTCTTGTCAGGAAAAGTTCGGGTCCGTGATTGAGAGCTCCGATAACCCATGACAAACCCGTGTCAAACCCGTGATTATCCCGTGTCAACCCGTGATTTTGGATGAAAAACCTCGGGTTTTCAGAAAAACATCGTGTTTCCCAAACCCGTGACGAACCCGTGACAAACCCGTGATTATACCGTGACAACCCATGTTTTTTTCACGGGTTTTAGGGGGGTACAATAGTTGCATTTTTGGTTGAGATTTTTTTCGTTCTGATCATCAACCTGGGCTTTTGGAGTTTGAATTCAAGTTCCTGGGGCCCGGCCGTCGAAGATGGCATGGGCGGAAAAAAACACCAAAATGGGAAACCTCGTGTTTCCTCCAAGAACCTCGTGTTTTGGGATGAACCCTACGTTTTTGTCGTGTTTGGAGGCACAAGGTATTTAATTTATATTTATTTATACCGTAATAAAAAGTGATTTTTCGGAAAACCAAACCACACATACCGGTTTCCATCTCCTTTCCCAAATGGCGATGGTGACACTGGACCGCTTTTTCACCACGTCTCGGAGACACGAGACACGAATCCCTCAAATTGTTCGGAGTCATAGGGATATATGGTGAGTAGGGATATGGACTATGGGATATGGAAGGTGATATGGACTTGGTGAGTAGGTGAGAAGGTGAGTAGGTATATGGGATATGGAATATGGCCAATCTCAATGTCTAGCATCGAAGGCATGAGTTGGTGGATAGGATAGGATGAAGGAGGAGCTCGGGGAGATCCTGTGAAATAGTGCTTGCATGGGACACAGCAAACCACTACAATCTTTTGTGAGAACTAGCTGCTGTGAGGAGCATTTTTTCCTCATTGATGTTTTAACCGTGTTTCATTGATGTTCATTTGGTCAATGTTTTTCAATGCTCTACCACTTTGGGTCATGGTTGCATCCTCGTTGTGGCGTTTTCAAAACCAAAGCATCACCTATTTCAGTTGAGATGCCTCGAGCTGCCTTTGTTGGCACAGTAGGATTCCTTTCAGCTTGGCCACCCTGCCTGCTTACCATAGCCAACATGTCTTGTTATCGACATCGTTCCAACAACACCTGACAACACCGTCGAAGCACAAAGTGACCGAGTGAGTGAGTTTGTCATGCTATTCACACACCTTGATTGCTGGCAGTACTGCCCTCCGAGCCATCAGACATTGATGACGCATGACTGAGATGGCTCGATGATACTCGATGCTGGAAAAACTCTTGTGCCCCGTTTCTGCCATCCCGACTGCCATCCCGACCACGCCAGAGCCCTGTGTGCAGGTTACTCCACTTGGATCCCATTGACCTCCTCGAGCAATGCAAACGCCTGCGTGGTGGATGAAGAGGTGGCAAGCCTAAGCCATGGTGCCTAAGACCCTTTGAGCCAAAAGTCTGGTGATGATCAAATGAGATCAGTTGGGATATCATCCATCTCGATGCAACTATCTAATCTAGTCTCTAGTAGCCCCCATGAAAATATGTTTGGGCATGGGTACTAAGTACTATTAGGCAGATTCAACCAAAAGGTGCCAGTGCTTTGTCCAGGAACAAGTTGACTTCCATGCCCCAACATGACAACACGCATGGCGATTTAGAGAACAACTTGAACAGACTGACAGTTTGACCACTATTCACTACACCTTTGCAAGCCCGATTGAAGGAAAAAAGAAGTCTCAGACAGAAGGACTCGCATGCCATGCTCCATGGCGCTGTTCCTGTTTCGTTCGATATTGATTTTGTCACCCGCCTTTTTGCATTCAAAGTTGGTGGACAAAGACACTCAGTTGGTGGAGGGAGACCGTCACTGAAGGACATCAATCACGTGGATTCTCAGGAACCTTGTGGTTTTTGAGGCAAGGCGAAGGAATCAGCTGCGAAATGCCAGGATCACTGTTGTGGTCCGCGATCAGCTTCTAAAAAATAGTATTACTTACAGGAACTACTTTTTCGTTGTCTTGTGTCATGTTAACAGGTGGTGTTAGCGAAGTGTCGCGTTCTGGTTTCGAGTGCCACGTCAGTGTAGGCCGGGCCATGTTTCGGCCACGCCGGCCACGCAGGCGCTGGTGGGATTGATGCTCATTGGGGTGGCCTTCACGGTCTTGTGGCTCTTAATTCCATCGCTCTTCTTCTGGCGTCCCTCTGCGAAAGACACTGGGGCGATGTTGCCGCCGTGGCTGTGAAGGCATCCGCCAACATCCGCCAACACTAGACACAGAGCATCGGGGAAAACTTGGGAAACAGAGATTCAAAACGATATAAACTTCCACCCAAAAGCCGTGTATGCCTTCAGGAAGCTGTGAACAGTTGTCAACGTTAGGGTGTCACCAATGCCGCAATGCCAACAAAACTTTTGGTTTAGGGCCAGGGGCGAAGCTGCTTCTTCGCAAGGGGGTTGTGCGTACCTGGTTTTGGAAGAAGGTAAATGCACCGGTGATCCGCCAGAACCAGGGCCCTGGCAAAGTCCATGTCAAGGAGGTGTTCGAACCTTCGGGCGACCACGTGTACTAGTACTTTCCTTCGCCCGGGCCCCAGCACCCGGCTGCACACCTTTGGCCGAAGCACCAGCGCCTTCAACTTAAGATGCTGAAACGTCTCTCTTTGGGCTATGAAAGCCCAAGCCCCCGATGAACGACCCAATGCAATGCGTCCAAGACGCGACCGAAGACGCGCGCCCGCCGCACGCCATTTCAGCGCCATTTTGGGGGTGGGTGGAATCGGCCACGGTTGATGAACCATAAATGCACCCTTTGACGCATCCAAACCTTTCAAACATTGGTGCTAGGGTCAGGTTCAGGTTGGGCCACCTTGCGCAAAGTCCAAATCTGAAGGGAATTCCCACAGAACAGGCTTTCGGAAGTTGTGCCTCGAACGGAAGCCCAAGATTCTAATTGGGTTTGTTCCAGACATGTCACGAGTCGAGGTGTGGGCATTGACGATGCCGCTCAGCAGCAGGGAAACCTGCTACCGTCATTGTTGCTTTTAAACTTGGTTTTGCTGAGCTGTCTTCCTGTTTTAGAGGCCCAGTCCCACCCAGCCATGTGCACGTTCGATTTGTATAAGTGTTGGCACCATGACAACTCAGTTCTTCATATTTCTTCATATTCCTATATATATATATATATATGTATATATATATATATATTGGGGCGGTCGATTCTGGGATGTTTGATTCCTAGTTCTGACCATTGCATAGTATCCCATAGTATGCACAGTAGTAGTAAGGCCAGGAGCCCCTAGTAGCGTCCTTCCTAGTATTAGTAGCGATGCCGCGATGCCCTTGCTCCTAGTAGCTTCTTGCTCCTAGTATTCCACCCTTTGGGCCACATGGTGTCGACTCCAAGGTTTTTGTTACGCACCTTTCCCACCCTCAGGTCTATGTGGAATCTGCGGGCGGTCCCTTGACGGGAGGAAGGGCTTCTGGTCCTCGATGACCAAGCGAGTCCATGCGAACTCGGACGTGACACGTCGTGTGGTTTTGGATGCTCAGAGGACATGCGCCTCCGAAGTCCGATTCATGATCCATTCCATCCTTCCATCCTTCCCTCCCAGCCAGCTGTCGATGGTTTTTCAACGGGAAATGGCCAGGCGTAGCGGCGTAGCACAGCGCCAGAGCACCGAGCACCGTGCCTGAGGACGGAAGCGCGTCATCATCCGGACGCGCAGCTCCCACTGGCTGCGACTGGATCCAAATGGTGAGTGAAAGCCAAGCTGGTTGAAGTCACAAATCGGTACACATACGTCATCAAGACATCATCATACATAGTTATAAATATTACTATATTTTCAGTCTGTCCTATTACCTGTAACAGTCAGTAAACAACTATCACCCACTCGGATAGACCCAACATATTATACAATATATTTTGCATATCTAAATAACAAAAAATAACAGCACATAGAAACACACATCAATATCATATAATATATACTATATATATATATACATATAGTATATCTTGATACAGCCTCTTTCTGGCAATCACTTTGTGTAGATGGCACTTCTGCCCCCCAAAAATGGTGAGGACCCGTGCCGTCACCAATCCTCCAGCTGCCCTGAGCCATCCTGACCATCACCCCCAAGCCAGGACACCTATCTCCTTGGTTTTCTTCTATTCTTAGGTGTTGAGATATGTTGCAAGCAGCTGCCAGGTAAGTGCGATGTGGCCCTTGTCCTCTGACCTGGGTTGGGCTCCGGGTTGCACAAGAGATAAAATCACACAAAGACAGGGATGGAGGGGCCATAACTCGCATCACCTCAAACATACAAACAGGATTCAGTTGAAATCCAATGGGTATAATTTGTAAATCGGTTTTTGTTTGCTTTGCAGCAATGTCAATGTTCGCAACCCTAGAGCTATGCTTCACGCTGCCTAGACCAAGGTCCTTCTTCTCTCTCAGCCAGTGCCGCAAAAGAAAGCCAAGCAGGCAGGGGCTCTAGCCGCAGTCCAAGTGGTATGTTGTCCCAGACCATCTATGACACAAATGGCCTGCCCAATCTTTAATTTTGGGTTGAGCGGAAGTCTCTCCTTCTTTTGTTGACACACATGGTGGAGACACCAGATACGTGCCACATGAGTGCGGGTGTGTGTGTGTGTGGCATTTATATGTTGCCACAGCCTGGGCCCACCGAAGTGGGTAGCTGGAGGCAACTTTCGGGGCGCCAAAGCGCAAAAGTGTTCGAAGCAAACAGCTTCGCCACCAACCCTGCTGCACGGCGTGCAGTCCATTGATGACATCTTCCCGTTTCCGACAAGGCAGAAATTGAATAAAAGGAATCACCAAGCACATAAGGTCAGCTGAGAGCTGATGACTCGACATGCCTACGCAAATCAAGCAGAGCTTGTTTCTGTCTTGCAAGAGCAAAACTACTCCAAGCCATAGCATCATCGACTCGACGAGCCCAAGCACTCAAAGAATCGGCACAGGGCTGCGCAACGGCCTGAACTGCCGCATCAATTCTGTCATTGTAAGTCCGCCAGACAGCAGGGGAGTGGCCATCTGGCGGTGTCCAATCTTTGGAGCGGCCGTGGGCCGGCACCCATGAAACTACACTTTCAGGACTGAGCAAAGCAATGGCGCGCCACATGCCAGATGCCCAACGTGGCAAAGATCCACCACGCCGCACCCTCGCAGCAGCGAAGACAACGGCTTGTGAGTCACATAGAACACGCACTCTCACACCAGTGAGATGTGCTGCATGCAAAGCTTGAAACACGGCCCAGGTTTCAGCAGCAAAAACATTCTGGTCGCAACCTTTCATCGGAAAAGCAAAAACCTGACTTTCAGTCGCGATACCCCAAGCCGCCCGCTTCTGCGAGTGGCGAGTTTTGCAGCTACCATCAGTAGCGACCAAAATCATTCCATCAAAGAGCGCCATCTGCGAAATGAAAGCGGAGCAAATTTCAACAGGAGGGCGCACGTCATCCGGCAAGAGATCAGGCGGCTGCGGCGGCGGAGACCAACAACCTCTCTTCGACACCATTAGCAGGTGCAGAAGTGTGTTCAGGCAAGTTGGTATCAGGGCAATGCCAAGTGACATGCCGGCATGAAGGCCAATCTGCACCACACACACAAGACACGTGATTCAAGTCAAATCTCTTGGCCAGCTTGCGACTGGCTGGCCCTGCAGCACAAGCAATGGAAAACGACAAGGGATCTTGCTTTTGACCCTGCTTCATGCAAGCCACATGCACAGCAATGACAGGTTCCACGTTTGAGTTGGCAACTTCCGCCGCACGCGGCTCGCTAAGCCACAACTGCCGTTTCCAGGCGGCTTTCATAGCGGCTGTGACACTAGTCTCACCATGGGAAAGCAAATCAAGCACACCTGAAGGAGTACGGAAACGACTTTTGCTCAAGCGCTCCCAACCCCACTTTTGCAGGACTTCAAATAGGCGGCTGCTGCGTTCACACGGCTCAACCTCAGTGAGCTGCAACCTGGAAATGTCAGTCACACTTTGGCATGCAGCAGCTTCACGTCGAAGTCTCCACAACTCGTGAAACACAACTCTGGAATCCAAGGCGAATTCTGGGTCAAGCTCGGGCGTCAGGAAGCAAGCCCACATCAAATATCTGGATCTCCCAGATTGAGGATAACCCAACATGGTTGTCTCAACAGCATATCTCCATTTTTTGCAAGAGTTTCTTGGGAATGGTGGTCCAAGCACCTGTGTGCGAAAACAAGGACAGGACAAGTGACCTCACAAGCCGCCTCTTGCTCCAGTGCCTGTGAGTGGCCATTCGAAGGCGCCTGAGACGCGCTTGCACTTTTGCAACAACGGCAGGCTCAATTGGTCCACGGCGAGCCTTACTAGAAAAGTAATGAACCCCCAACAACTTGAAGTGGGTAGCCATCTTCCACTTCCTGTTACAAGCAACGTTCCATGACTGAAAAGCTTGCAATTGGGCATTTCGGCACTTGTAGAAGAGTTCACATTTAGAACTGTTCAACCTGAGGCCCAAAACCTGGTCAACGCTCTGCGAAGCATCAAGAGCAAGCTGCAGTGGCTGCCGCTCTTTACACCACAAAGTCCTGTCCACATGAGTGCGGGCCACAAAATACATGCACCATCATGCACCAAATCACAGTGAGAGCCCCAAAAGGGGCTTTTTCACCGCACGGGCAACGACAGAGAGGCCTGCTCAAAAAAACGGCAGGTGCTTATACTTTTTGGGGCGGGACCTCCGCGCGAGGCAAAAAAAACGCCCGGGTCGGGTCGTTGGGTGGCCAATGTGCAGCGGCTGAGGACGGTGAGCCCCAAGGTGATCAACTTGGACCGAATCGACTCGACGAAGCCCTTGGGACCGAATCGAAGCCGGCGAAGCTGCGGAAGCGGGCCATTTCTGGGGATGGAATCAGGAAGTGATGGAGTGTGAAGCTGCGTGTGACTACAAGTGACTTGTAGCTACAAGTGTGACATCGGAAGGTGGAGCTGGTGAATGTTTCGGAAGCCCATTTGGTCGGATCTGGAAAGTGAAATGCGAGGATGTACGAGGCATATATATATATAGAGAGAGAGAGGCTGCACATGATTGCAATAGGGGCCCAACATCCTAGAGGCACTCCCTCCCAATGAGCCATTTCTTGTGAGACTTTTGGGTTTGGAATAGGCTTATTACCGCTGCGGCACGACAATCTCTACCGCTGCGGCGAGAACACCAGTGCAAAAACGCGGGAAGTCATGCGAACATAGAAGATACGCCTGCCACCACTCCAAACACGAACCGTAAATGAAGCTTTTTACTATTGGTTGGTTGGTTGCTGAATAGCCGGGATACCACCAATACCTAGAGCCTCCATGTCGCGAAAAAAGGCATGACGCAGTCACAGTGAACATTGGAAGACCGCGAATGCAGTCAATCACTGCCATGTTTCCACCTCAGGCTTTCTTTTGCACATGTTTCTTGGCTCTCACCTTGAAATCCTCAACGTTTTTCCAATGAAGTCTTCATCAACTGCACACTTGAAGGTAGCAATAAACTCATCTCCCTGGCTTACATGTTGTTTGGTTTCGAAGACGGTCCCAGTCGGGAAATGAAACTTGGTTCGCTCATTCATGGTCCAATTTTCTCCCAGGGAAATTCCGCTACAATTCCGGGAATGTCTGCTACATTTGTTTCCTGCAAACTGTGACCTAAGTTGCAATTCCACACTTTTTGTGCCCGGATCAAGTAATTATGCCCGAGTTTTTACCTTTTTTTGGCACCTGAATTAGAACATGCACTCTTGCAAGTGTGCATCGGGCCGGACATTTTCACCAGTCTTCCAAGCGTTATGAGCCCCAAGCGGCGGCTACATGAATATAGTCGTGACATGATGCGCTTCTAGAGGGACATCCCAAACACTCCAAATTCCCAACAAAGTAACCTGTCCTGTGCCCCAAAAAGGGAACAACCTGGAAACACCTGCTTTTTTGCACCTTTTTTTTTGGTACTTTCGAAGCGCTAGGTAGGTATATATGTTTATGCTACCAAGTATATACCAAGGTCCGGTCTCGACTTGAGAAAACCCACCAAGGACCGCTGGCACAGAAAAGTCCATCACCTTGGAGCGGCTCGTCGACAATAGCGACGGCTTTTAAAGTTCCACCTGGGTTGCAGAGCAAGCGGCAAGGTTCTGGGAAGTTGAAGTGTGTCACTGATATTGCACTTTATGTTATTGTATTTATGATGTTAGTACAGTCATGCAGACCCCTCAGAACTGACTCAATTCTCCAGGATATTTGTTTTGGCAAAGCTCGACGCAAACCCGTTTGTTGATCAACCGTTTGAGTCTGGTTGATGTTCTTTGTTTGTTTCGATTGTTTTTCAGACTCAACATGGGAAACCAATCATTACACTCCGACTCACTCACATGGAAATGGACAACCGCCTGTTTGTAGAGGAAAATGGTCTTCACTGGGGCCATGGCATCCACTTCCATGTTAGTAAGACAGAGTGAGTTTCCTTTTGCTAGTAATTACAAGTGCCTCGCTAGTAGAAACAAGTGCCTTACTAGTAGTAACAAGAAGCTATTAATTTTAATTCTAATAGCTTCTTGTTACTACTAGTAAGGCACCTGTTACTACTAGCGAGGCACTTGTTTCTGGTTTCGGGCGACATCGATCGCCGGAAGGACATCGATCGCTCTGGTCTCAGTGGGCCGTCCTGACGAAGTTGGGCCGTCCTGTCGAGGAGGGGATTGTCATGGATTGTATACGGTTTATGTTGTGTGCAGGGGGTTCAACTTTATATCTTTGGTACATCCCAACCCTGCCAACTTCGGGTTCCATACTTTTTGATGGTTGCAAGATGTTGCAAGCGATGAGGAGTTCAGGGAGAGGTATTCCAACAGAGCCCTTTTCCCATCCGTCCAACGCCATGTTGGTCTGTGTTTTGTGTAATATCATGTCATATCATGCTATATATCTCAATATATCTCAATATCTGATAATGTGCTTTTCTTCTAGACCACCCGCACCTGTCTTCGTGTCACAGCCAAAATATGTCGCAACCAAAACTGTCCGCAAAACGCCCAGGAATGCGGTGCACGTGTCAGTCAAGAACCGCGTGATGGTGCCCGTGGAGTTTGCGCAGACCGGGCATCCCTTCTTGGACACGCGTCCCAGCAATCACGCCCAGGAGCCCCCTTTTGCGTGCTTCGTGTGGGACGCGCGGGACGATGGAGGTTCTAAGGATATATTTGTAGTTGACAACTACTCGTGCTTTCTTTATTTTTTCCTCCACTCCGGCGCATCATGAAGACCACCAGATCCCGCCGGTGAATTTTGCAGGCTTCACTTCTAGAGGCCGTGTATGAATTCCTCCAAAAGATCCAAAGACAGCTCCACAACTTTCAGTTCAGCTGATCCAGCTGACCCAAAAATGACGTAAAGCGAGCCCTGTTCCAATAGTTCCGACCGCGAGCCGCGGCGCAACGTGCTGGAACTCTGTGCCGCGGTGTGGTGGTCCCGGGTTGCCCACGGCAAGCCACCCGACGAGACTCGGTATCCGGGGCCCTCGAGTTCACGAATGAAGGGATGAACTCGAAACATCTGACCCCCCCCCCCACACTCACAATATCTCACAATCAAAAACATTCAAAAACTATCCAGGACTCATGGTGGATGAACACTGCTGCCGCCCGGGCGGTCCAAGCCGCACATGATTTGATCGAGAAGGTGTCTGCGCTGAAGGCTGAGGACAGGACTTTCGAGTGCGGTTTTCTTTTTCATCCGCCTGGCTTGCAAGTTGCAAGTTATTCAGATCCCTTGGATTCTTGTGGGGTTAGCAAGTCATTACCGTACGGACCGAGCAAGCAGAATTTGGACGAAAAAAAAGCGGTCAGGAAAGCTCCCAGGCTTTGGCTTTCGCACCAGAAATGTGGAACATGTTTGAACATGTTTTAACCGTACTTTCTTTTCCCAATTAGTGGATGATTTTTACAATGTACTCCTGAGATGGATGCTCATGTGATGAATGTTCCGTTGAACCCGCAGCGCTCACGGGGTCTCGACCCCATGTTGGCAGGAGCCGTGTGGGAAGAAAGGACGGCCTCAAGTCCAGCCGTTGACCAGGACTCACTTGAAGCTCGCAGAATTGTTTACTGTAGTCGGGGGCGCTACTAAACCTAGGTTAGTACAAGCAGGGCTGAGGTGGAGAGCCAGGTTTTTCTCCGCAAACTAAGATGGAAGTGGAAAGCGGCCTTTTAGAAGAACATTTTCCTCTACAAACAGGGAGTTTCCACTTCCATGTTAGTTCCAGGTTTTATATTAGACGATACGAGCTCAAGAGTTTCTGGAACGTTTTGGTCGGGTCTTCGGTGGGTCCGCTGGGTGCAGGCAGTGGTGTGAGTCATGGTGAAGAAAAAACTGGAGGCAGCTTCTCAATCTGAATGGTGGCATTGCTGGTGCTTTCCCTTACATGCAGCGATTGCTGGTCAAGGAAGCCGGGCGAAGCATGCCCAAAAAAGAGCGAAGATGTTTAAGGTCAAATGTGGAAGACCTTTCGTCGCCGTTCGATCCCAGCGATTTTGGGCACTCCGGAGGCGGAATCCACACAGTGAAGACCCGCCGCGTTCCGCGGAACCCGCGGCCTTGCATCCGTCCGCCCAGGCTTTTGCTCACGGCAGATGGGAAGCCAGAGGACTGGTGCGAACGTCCGCCGCCCGCCACTCGGTGTCGGGAGTCGACGGACCTTCAGGAGTCTTCACTCAGACGTGGCTCGAACGAGGTCTCCAGAGGTCCGTGGCTCGAACGAAGCAGCACCGGCGGACGTTCGAGTTGGAAGCCAGGAGCGGGTCATCGAAACCTCCATGGGCTATCTCAGCAGCTGTGCGTCTCATGTGCGTGGGTGTATGTGGAAGTTTTATGCGCTGGCCTTTGGGAGGGGAAAGAGGCATCGCAGAAAAGACCATGTGAAGCCAGTCCAAAGATGTGTACCATTTGTATAATCTACATTGGCGTTGGGGATTTGGAATGGTGCTTAATATTCTTTTTTTAATAAATGTATGTATTCCACGATTGTTCACATGTAACTATTTGCCGTCGTCTGTGTCCGGGCAGGAAGATGTTGCTGTAGAAATGTTGAACACAATGGGTCTGACGGGTTCTGGTATCGGACGTCATTTTTTCTGGCGACGTGCGGCCTGGAGTAGATGAGCCTAGGGTAATGAACAAAGTATATAAATGGATATAAATGGATACAAATGGCTAAGTAAATGGCTATATATTGCGAATGCAGTTACATTTTTTTGTTCATCAGGATTTGAAGTCCATGTTCGTTTCTTTTTGCGAGATGTCGCGCAGCAGGTTGATGGAGACGGCTGAGGAATCTATTTCCCAACGACCTTGTTTCTTGTGGCGCCGCTGCAGATTCCCATGCTGGTGTGACTTGGCGGCCAACTTTCGTAGGGTCAGTCACTGCAATACTTTCTCGATTAGTTGACCACCTTTTTCTTTGTTTTGGCATTGCATAGGCATTCCCCATTAGCCCTACATTCCACATTGAAATGTCTCGTGCAGAAAGGCTAGAGTCAAGGCCACTACATATATTGAGAAACTGTACAAGCAGCCTGACAAGTAAGGGTCAGATGTGAGATGACGTGAGTAAGTAACTATACAATATCATTATATTTACAGTAGTTGGCACAATCACCAAGAGGTGGTTTATATGGACCCCCATCTAAAAGACATGCAGGGGTTTGTGCCATCTACTCTGAAACCACTGTACAATCTTTGCAATTAATTTCAGATACATATATAGTAGTAGCGCCTAGCACTTACAATATTTACCCTTTCACTTCACCGTTATAAAGAAATAGAGACGGAGGTCCGGGTGAAAAACGATGCAGATAGAATATCCCTATGCAGATAGAATAGTTCAACATGCACATAGAATATTATGCACCAACGGTTTTAGTATCTCTTTTTGAACACCGATTGATTGATGGCTTTATACTCTTGTCTTTCTGTTTGAATTTTTCAGATGCACAGTCGTTCCAACTGGGGAATATTCTAACTGCAAGAATGTAAGACCCAGTGGTTCAAGAAAATCAGGTATTCTAACTGCATACCCTTAATTTCTGAGTATTCTAACTGCTGGCCTTCTACTATATAGATTCCCCGGAGGGGCCGGGTCTGTCACAGGTGTTTCTCATGTTGTAAGATGCCCTGTTCGAGGCATACTGGGTTCCTACAGGTCTGACGTGTACCCGTGGTATGTGGTGACCCCTTGGAAGATCAGTTGGCACATGTCATTGTGGCAGCCCCAAATCTCATAGGAGTGACATTATATAGCATCCGATGGGGGTGGTCTGGAGCCTTCCACAGCCAATCTTTGAGCTTCTTACTTTACAAATCTTTAGGAGCTGGACCCAACAACTTGACAAAGCGCACATCATATGTGTGTATTATATATCTTTTTTAAACATAGATCCTGTTGAGCAAACGAGGTAGGTGAAGGTAAAATCAAGAGGAAACACATGTGAGAGCGTGTCGCAAAGCACATTGGATAAACAGGAGCCCGGGTCCTGTGGTTCTGTCTTTAGACTGACCAAGACAAACGAACCTTTGCAACGAACGCAGCTGCGGCCGAGGTGGCTTCTGCTTGCCTTCCTGCTGGTTTTGGTGCCTGTGGTCACTTTCCAATTCGAGGCCAGATTCGTCCTGGTGACCGCAGGGATCGGACACTTGGCGAAGCGACCCGCACACATGTGCCATCGGGCTACGCGGCGGCCTCACGACGGGGTGGCCAAAAAGCTTTGGTTGATTCAGAGAGGGCTAACATGGTTTGTCTCAAAAGGTCGCGGGTCCGGGTGACTTCCTTTAATATAGAAATATAGAATATAGCTGGAAGGACTCGCGAGGATTATAAGGAGTTCTAGACTCTAGACACCCACCACACAAGACTGGAGTCTGCGATCTTGCAAGATCTCGTGGTTTTCCCCCAAACAGTTTACTGTTGGGGTTCTATCTTAGGAAAAAAGAGCTGGCCACACTCACTGGCCGCGCCAAATCTGTGGCCCGGCTCTGTGTCCGGGTCTTGTCCTCCTCTTGTCCTTGTCTTGGCTCTGTCCAGGTCTTGTCCTCCTCTTGTGCTTCTCTTGTCCTTCTTTTGTCCTCCTCCTTCTCTTGGCCGCGCCCATGAACTCTGTGGCCTGGCTCTGTGGCCCGGCTCTGTGTCCGGGTCTTGTCCTTCTCTTGTTTTGTGGCCGCGGTGTCCAGCCCTGGACACACTGACCGGCCGCGCCCCTGAACTCTGTGGCCGGGCTCTGTGACCGGGTCTTGTCATCCTCTATCCTCCTCTTGTCCTGCTCTTCTCTTGTGTTCCCTTATGGCCGAACAATTAGCGATGTCGATGCCGACAAAAATCATTGATAAAGCAATTTGCTCTTGGGGGGCAGGTAGGGCGTACCAAGAAATCGTTTTTGACTAATATTGGTCCCAACGAACCGTTTTGAAGCTGTTTGGGGTCTATGCTGGTATATAGGTCTCGCTCAGCTGAAGTGACATCTCCCGATGTTGATGCACTTTGGAAGCTGAGAGCAGGATCTCCTTAGAGGCCATGTTCTGGAACACTTGATGAGTAGCCAAATTTTGTTCCACCGGAAGTTCCTTAGCCAAGCTTAGTTTTGGCAGCAATTCCGCATATCACGAAAGGTAGCTTGAGATACCTGAGTTCTCCTTGCTTTAGCAAAAATGTATTACAATCAGGAGTTGGGATTGTGCATTGAGTTTGGTCCTGTAAGGGTTGATTCTGTTCGTCGGGGGGGGGGGGCCCTGGATCAAATCCCCTCTCCGCCGGTTCACGCCGTCATGGACTTTTACCAGGGTTGCTTGTGATTGCCTGCTACCTTTCGTTCACCCCCTCCTCTCTCAAGTATAGTGTATATATATATATATATGTATACACATAGATATGATTTATGCATCTACCAAGGGTATAATGATATAGAATGAATAGAATGGCAACTACACAACCAGATGAAGATACCATACCTCTTGAGCTCTCGATGCGGGGGGCACTTCCGCACTTTTGGGTAGTGCTAGAGCTTGGCTGACGCAGAAAAGGCCGTTTGAATTTTACGAGATCTTTTGATGAGGTTTGTTGCTTGCCCTCTTCCTGGCACTCTTGGAGTGGCGGGTCACGCCACCTACCCTGCGGCACATCAAGCTGAAGGAGACGTCTTTGTGGTGAAGACCCGGGTGATGGGAGTTGAGATGCGCTGAGTGGACTTTACTTGTGCTGTGAGTGGACGAAATCCAGCACCAACTTGAGTTAATCGGCTGTCAGTTGTGGAGTGTTCCTCATCTCAGTGCTGGTGAGTTTTTCCTGAAAACCATGGGCAAGAAAGATCAAAGCGTAGACGGTTGAGTGGTTCGAGCTTGCCAAAGCAAGACCAGCCCACAAAAAGTTCAATGTTCGAGTTTTTGTGTGACGTACTTCCATGTGGGTGTGATGGATTCATGCATTCCACATGTGCAGTTGCAACAAGGAGCTATCACCGTTGCACTGCATAGTCCCAGGCACCCGGACAGTTTTGGATTCGTTGCAAACTTTTAATGTTGCCTGTGTACCGATTCTTTGATCGTTCTTGAGCTACACCATGTGCCCACAATTGCACAAATCCTTTTACGGGCCCCCCTCAACTGACCAGGACCACAGTAAAGAGCTCGAGAGAGCCGCTTGGCTGAGGGGTGTCGTGGGATTGTTTGAGCCGCATGCGTTTGAACGTAGAGTGCCGAGTGCCTGTCTCAATTTAAACAAGGGACTGGAGCCATTTGCCTTGTGGGTTGTGTTTTGTTGACATGGAGGGGGCATGAGGGGACCTTTTGACGCTGCGTTTGCGCTGGTTAGCAGTGCTAGCTGCTAGATGTTTTGAGTTGTGAGGCAATACCAGAGCCCACCTGGCGTTGCTCCTACGCTACAACTGTCGTAGATCTTCTACGCCAGCCCTTTGTGTTGCTTTCCCTCAGGGTGCAAATGGGTCGTAATCAAAAAGGCCACACCATGGGGACATGAAACATAGGTTTAGTTTTAGGTCAACACTTGGACACTTGGGCACAGAATTTGAACATTAATTATTCAGTGCATGTTTTTGCGGTGAAGTGCTGATTGCCACGATTCCTGGGTCACAGATTGCGGCCTCATCACCATTCCGGCCGACATGGGATGTAGGAGCCATAATAATAGTGAAAGAGCATGATCATGATTGTCACCGACGCTCCCATACTGTGCAGCAGCAGCAGCAGCAGCACCAGCACATACCACCACGACCATCATGACCACCAGCAGCACATCATCATCCTTGTTGCCCACGTCACCATCGTCATGCACCGTATCACACGTCCCCCGGCATCACGGAGTCTTCACCACCACGTGCCACCGTCAGGTGGGGAATAAAGGGAAACAACGTGACGCAATCACAACATATCACAACCATGGATCACGGTTTTCCAATGGTTTTCTACAGATCTGATTTATTCTGGTGTTGTTTTCCCCCCAGGTGTTTGTGTGAGAAAACTCCTCGTGAAGTCATTGGTGCGAGGCCAATCCCTTTCCCCAGCGCTGTGAACGTGGACCTCAACGTGCAGTGCAAGCAGGTGAGCTTGGCAGAAAACGGCCTTCCTCTAGCAGGAAGGCACAACAACCACCCTAAAGTTGTATCAAGTGGGATGCTGGTTACTGGCACTGGTGTTTAAACATTTTCATTTTAACATGTTTATGCTTATATAATATGCTTGCTCAGGATAGTGTTCGCCTTTCTAGATGCCTCGGGCGAGGTCAGTTGTGGCGCTTCTTCATGAGCTTTGAGACCTTGATCCGACTCTAGGGCTGCATTGGGAACCTGACCTGAGGCAACTTGCTCAACTACAGCCATTCAACTCCGAAGCCCGAGCCAGTGGGTGGCCCTACAAAAACGTTTTTGAGAGTGGAAGAAGTTCAAGCCAGCTTGGGTTCAGTGTTGCCCTCTCAGGACAGCAGCGGAGCATGTACTACGTGCCTTGGCTTGCAGCGCTGGTGAGAGGAGAATGAATGCATGTCGTTACATGTCGATACGCCGTGTGCTTTGAGCTTGGAGAGTTATTCGTCAAACAGACACATTGAGCACATTTTGTCCTGTAGGACGACCATCACCACACCAGAATCAAATAATTAGCATACTCTGCTCTACTCTTGTTTGCTGGGATTCAATTGGATTCAATGCCCTCAAAGTGACCAATGGTGGTGATGCCTCGGACCCACTGCTCGCTGCCCAACACCGTGGACCCCGCGGACGCGACGAGGGCGGTGACAAGGACCGAGCACCTCGGCTTCAAGAAGCGAGAATTGCCAGATCTTTTCCCGAACACGGGTGGATTGCAGTGAGGTGGTCTCCAACCTCTTGATGCCGCTCACCTCACAAAAACGCTTGTCTTATGCAGAGTTGGCAGGCGAGATGGGACGAGCTGGACCCAACGGGAGGTGGTCGATTGGAGATGGTCGAGGAGCTGCACCCCGTGTAATTAGGAGTGGTAACCCTCGATCTACTGATTCACTGTTTGATGGGGTTCCATCAGTTCCATCAGTTCCGTGCAGTGGCACCCACTGGCAAAGGGCAACATATCTCTCACTGATATGGTCATACTCTAAGATGTCAACAGTTTTCCTCCTAGCTCAATATTTCCAGATGAAGAATCGAATCAGTCACCGTGAGTCGCACCCTTCAGCTGCGATGGCCCCTGCCCAGGGTCCCACCAAGTGCTTTGGTTTGTCTCTCACTTCTGGGGCACCTCTTTCCGGCACTTCGTGCACTCGGTCCGGAAGCATGCGGAATCTGTGGCACCCTACTCGCTGCTCGGTCCCGAAAAGTCAGTGGCTGAATTCGGTGGGTTGCTTCTAGACCTCCATGCTTGGGGCGAGCGAGTGCGTGCGAGTGGTGCAATGTGAAAGCCACGGACCTCCAAGACAAACGGCATGTTTGTTTTGAGCGTTCCGTCTTTGCAGTTGGTTCAAGCAGATGCCTCCACAGGTTTGTCCGGTGTTGAAGACAAGATCATATCCTCCACTCAACATTTGTGTCACTCGACCTCCCTCCTTGCATTGACCGGTGAGTTTTGATGAGTTTTGCTCGCGCCGGAAAAAAGGAAAGGAAAAACAAAATAGAACAGCTCATAAGGATCAACTACCTGGGGTCCTTGACAGGGTCCAACGCAAAAAACAATAAGAAGACAATAGAACACCGTTGAGCTGTCACCCTGGCCCCTGAGGGGAAAATAACTCCTGGTGAAGTCATGAACATGGGATTGCTTTGCCATTTTCTTCTCCACTGGGGACCAGTTGGCATTGCGTAGTGAGTTGCGCTGTGCATGCTTGCGGAATTGGTTCGATGCGAGCGGCGCGGCGAGCTGCGCGCGATGAGGAGAGTGCCCTGGACAGAGCCCACGTACTGGATTTGCAGCTTCAGCATCGCGGCGAAAGAAGAGGAATTGCATTACACTCCCTGGAACTAACATGGAAGTGGAGAATGGCACCTTGGAAGACCATGAAATCCACTACAAACAGGTGGTTTTTCCACTTCCATGTTAGTTCCAGGGGGGGGTAATTGCAAGAAACCTGTGCTGAACTTGTGCTTCCTCAATTACATCATTTTTACCCGGCCCTGGGGATCCTAGGCTTGGTGTCCCGAAGCAGTCTTTCTAGCTGATTCTACGAACTGTTGAGCGTTTTCCTGTATGCACCCTAGGTTCCTATCAATGAACTTGCTACAGCGGACACTTCCCGGTGTATGGATTACACCCGGCCTTTAGATGGTGTTTGCCACGGGATGACTTTCAGCCATTTATTCTCCCAGAACACCTCTTCCATCCGATGCAACAGTGATGCTTTCGGAGCGCCGGCCGAAGGCAACAACCAATGGGAAGTGGAGGCTGAAGTGGGCAAGAGCTGGGACGATTCCTCCTTCTTCAAGACCTTAAACTGTAGCGATTGTTTGGGGACCGCGATGTGACTTGGCATAGCTGGCATAGCTGGAACATTCTGATGCAAGTGGTGTTTTGATGCAAATCATGGAATGGCTCAAGAGGGTACTTCCTGGCCTTGATGGAACTTCTAGAGCTTCATCATGCGTGAGCTGCAGCGAGTACAGTCTTTTCAGGTGTTGCTTGCTTGTACGTAGTGTGTTTCATATGCTTTCACCACCCAAACGTCAATGGGATGGGCAACGAGATGGTATCAGTTCCATGGAGATTCGTTGGATTTCATTGGTCTAAGAAGTCTATGACTTATGATGCGGCACTGGTTCCGAGACATAGGTTACATTTGGCAATGCTGGGTTTCTCCGGAACTGGGAGGAAAACTGAGTCCTGAGGATCTTAGATGATGAGGCAATGCCCCTGACTAGAGCCTGGTGCTTGTTGCTTGGCGGAGAGGCGGCGTTGGGCCAGAACATGTTTCAGAATGCAGACCTTCCTTGAGCCACTATTGGCCATGGCCTACATTGGGGGGTTAAAGCCCCAAAGCCCCCTAGTTCAGTTAAGCAGTATGTCAACTGTTTACACTGATTCCCTAATATCATTAATTGTGGGTGATTTCACGCACCCTTCGTTCTCCATCCGCGTTTCACGTGGCCGGGCTTTGACCTTCGGACGCTGCGAGGTTCGAGGTCTTGCAGACCAAGGAGATCCAAAACAAGCGGCCCGACTTCGAAGGCGACGATGAACAGCAGCGGCTTTTTCCGATTGAACGCAGTTTCAGAGATCGGGGAAAGACCGGGGGGAAGACAGCGGAGGTGCGCAAGACCATGCAAGACCGGTCTGGCCTCTTTGATGGTTGTTGGACCACTTTGGCCAGTCAAGTCACGACTTAAAAACTTACTGCTATGATCTGCTATGCGCAGAGCTGGAGCATTTTTGTACAAACATGTTGTCGTTGTTTGGTTGTGCCAAGCTGCAGCGTAAGCTTCTTCGGGTGTGGCTGCAGCTGTTTTCCGAACTTTCCGACTGGCAACTGGACTGCTTGCGACCAGAGATTTCAGGAATCCATAGGAATCCTAAGGCTTTGCGCAGCTGCTCCGGCGTTTTGCCAGTCGATACTCTTGCATTCGTTGGTTCCGTCGTTTTGGCCGAGAGGCCTTTGGCTTTGTACCTCCACGGGGGTGCTGCATGAGGGGAAGGCGCGTGGGTCGCCACGTGGGTCGCCGAGGGCGTTGGACACGGATTGACTTGGTGGTCCGGAAGAGATCCCAACATGCCCCAAATGAGTAGCAAGCGGTATGGCAAGGACCTGTGTGGCAGGCGCAGGCAAATCTTTATGGTTTAGATCCAACAGAACATCAGCGAAGATGAGATGGATCATATGTTTAATGGCTACGCAGCAATTAATACTGTAGCGTGAAGGGTTTGTTGCAAGCAGGGGGGTGCGTAAAATGCAGATACTCCATGCGAGAGAGGATTCCGTGATCAACCGTGCTACAGCCGCGCAGGCGGGGGTGGACGTGGCCTTGCACCTGGCGAAGCGCTTGAGCAATCTGCGTTTGGAGGATGCGACCGCATCCGTGCAGAAGGACAAGGACATGACTCTTGATTTATGTGGTTAAAATATGTTTAAGCACTTGGTGGGTTGAAGGATGTTGAAGGCCACGGACACCGCGACTCCACGTCTTCAAGTCGCCACGTGGCGAAACGCACGCATGTGCATGCCCGAAGTCGCACGGGACCGCCACGCTGAGGATCGACCACTTGATCTCCCAGATGCCCGGAGGCTTCGAAGCCATGAATCGCTTCGTCAAAAGCAACATCGCCGAGGCGCAACGTTACGGCGAAACGGTCAGCCCGAGGATGCGACGGCGCTATGCGCCATGCGCCAGATCCGGACTGGGGACCGGTGCCTTTGAAGGACCGGACCGTGGTTTTGGGACGTGCCGGAAAAGGTCTGATATGTCTGATTGTGGAGGAGGGTGGAGATGGATGGATAGGGAAGAAAGATGAAGGAAGTGGGACGAGAAGACTTCAGAGTGGAGCAAATCGGGAACCCTTCCTGCCCATTCCTAAAGAGCTTTGTCGGAACATCGACATTTAAAGGGTTCGGCAAGGCAGGAGGACGAGTAAGTTGGGTTCGAACGACCAGCCATGATAAACGCAACGAAGAAGGGGAAGGGCAAACGGGCTGTTGCTCGAAATTCATCCCACAAAACGATGGTTCTGGACCTTTGCCTGTGGTCTTTTTGTTCCAAGCTTTGTTTTTGAGATTGAGTGGGTTACTGGAAACGACAGTGCCTGTAGCATTTTTCTGAACTGCTCAGAAAACGCCGGGATAGATTGATGCATCGCTAGATTTGAGTTGGCGCAGGCATGCACAGAAACAAAGAAACTCTAGACGTACCCTCCCTCCAACAATCACGGAAGCTGACAAGGACCCCCTTGTAGGGGAAAATGGTCTCCATGATGCCTCCATGAAAGGTCAAAGAAATCCTCCTACACTCTTTCTTTCAAAACGAACCGAAAACATGACATACCAACCAGGTTCCTCGATTTCTTTGGCAGAATGGTCCTTTTCCGCCTTCCGCCACTCGATCATTCCAAAGCAAAGTTCGTAAACATGTTCGAACGCAAATAAACCTTTTGGATGACTTACTACTTTGTGATTGGCCTCCTTAGATGCCTTCGCTCCTAATTAGTTGCATGTCTCTCACTTGTTTTTCTCACACTCGGGCTCAACACCTTTTCGGTGTGATTTTGTAGATATGCAATTGCCTCATTGTCATTTTTTGTTACCTACCCGGTACCATACCAAGGGGTGTTTAACAGAGCGGGATCAATTCGTGCGATGTGGTGTAGAGGAAAATGGTCTTCCAGGGGCCTATGGTCCACTTCCATGATTGTTTCAGGGAGGGTAACTACTTCTTGCAACCACTGTGAGCCATACTGTGCCCTACAGTGGTGGTGGTTTCTTTCCGGCAGAAGCCCTGCGTTTTGGCAGCAGGCTTTGCGGCACATGAACACCGCCTTCAAGAAGGCCGAATTGGGGTATCAGGATCTCATGGTTTCGCAGCTTGATAGCTGTGTGATGCGGCCGCCATGGTCGTTCCAGACCAAAGGGGCACTTCTTTGGTCCAAAGCCTGAGACAATCTCAGACACTTAAGCTTGGAGTAACTTGGAGCTTCTTTGTTAAGTTTCTTTTGGTGGTGCTTGGTGTTTTCGTTGCGTGGTGGAAGGCACCGAAGCAGACAAGGAAATGATTCGGCATTAGTTAAAGATCATACGATTGGGCAAGATAAAGTTTCAAGATGGGACTCCAAGTCAAGATTGAGCTTTTCTGCGCGCATGAAATTTAACTTTTAGGATTGGCCGTTGGGAGGTGCCACTTTTAGCCCGTCATACAATCAGATGAGGTTCGAGGAGGAGAGGTGTGTGGACCTCTTGCAGTATGGTCAGAGTAGATGGCGTAACGCAAAAACCATGAAAGACCGGCGATACAACACGACCTGCCTTCCTTGGATTCTGGAATTCTGCCACATTGGGGGGCGCGCATTTTGACAAATACCGGATGCTCCTACCGGTTTAATGGGTTTTCAGTAGGTTGCATCGATTTCTATGTCTTGTTGGGCTCAGATCTAGCTGCCTGCCCTGCGAGGAATTTAATCAAATCATGAGCTCGCTGGGTGAAGAACCCACCAGCAGCTTGTCGCAACGTCCTCTTCATCGCTTTCAAGAGGAAGACCCTGAGGACCTGAATCGCGAACATGTTGGGAAGACAGTGGTCGAAATGCCGGGGGTGAACTCAACTTCTATGTTGTCAGAGGGTTGGGAATATATTGCCCTACTCGAGATCCAGGACATCCTTCGGCAGTTCGATGGAAGAAGGGAGGTATGGCTTTCACATGGTTTCATGATGTTCTTTCCGAGTTCCATTTGTCGGCAGGGTCTTCGAGAGGCAACTGGGTCGACGTGTTGGTTGCCCAACACTTTTCAACGGAATCTCGTCGCGGAGGCTGATGATCCTGGCCGACCCAGTATTGGGAGTAGGTTCAGCAAACATTGCCAGAGGGATCCTATATATATACCTGTGGAATGGCAGTTTATCAAGGAGGAACTTTCATCCAACATGTGCGGCACAGCCCCGCGAGTCAACTCCCCCACACTCTTCCAAAGGCTTCGCCTGGGTCCGTGCTGACCGTGCTGACTCGGTTCCGTCCACCACCCCGATGAAGGATGTCACCCATGATGTGGCCGATGTAAGCGTTGGGTTTTTCGTGTGAGTGGTGGAATGGTGCCACAGAACCTTAAGTCCCGCAGCAGGCTAGTGCTGGTGAGGAATCTTCACCCAGAGCATGATTATGTTGCATATATTTGTATACTGTACTAATATCTATATATACAGTACTTGTATAATTTCTAATGTTCGGCCAAGATAGGCACATCTTCTATCCTACGTGGATTCCAGACGGCAGCCTCCACTGGCACACGGGTCTCCCGCCCCAGGTCAAGCGAGCGACGCCAACGTGTTGGCATCCACCTCCAGCTGGGAACGCCCCGAAGAGAGCCGATTCCTGGAGGAGGTGGGCCACCCAATGCAGGACCCCTAAGTGTTGTTTCTTCTTTTTTTCTTCTCAGTTAGCTGATCAGTCCAACATTCAGCGGTCGTTCGAGATCGAGTTCAAAGCAAGTTGTGGACTGTATTGACCAGAAGTGTGTGGCTTTGAAGTCAGGTTTCATGAACGCCTGATGTTCCCAAAGGCTTGCAAATAATCGCCCAAAAAGAGACATGTGGACATAGTCAGGCGGGTCATCAATCTCTCTGGGTGGGCATTCAATGTGCATACAAAACTAATCAGATACCTGGAACAACTATATATACAACATATTATATAACTATTATATGTATATCAGTAGGCTATAGAACTCTATGTTCCTTTATTAATGATTAGCTTTGAGGAGTACCTACTGCAGTGTGGAAGTATTTGGGTGGTTTTACTGTTCCATCCCGGTGACTGGGCGACCAGTTGGCCAGTTGACTGCCCGAAACATGGAGACTGGGGCCATGTTTCATGTTTCAGCACAAGAATCCAGTCTCCAGCCACCTGACCCTCATCTCTTGTTGCTCACGCCGAAACAACAAACCAGGCAAATGAACCCTTTTTGCTCATTTCTTTTCCAGAGTGGCGAATGTGGTAGTTGCGCACGAGTTCAGCAAGTGTTTGGCACCCCAACCAACCGGATTGCGCTCCGTGGGGGTCAGGATGGCGGTTTGCCCTGCAAGTGCCCTTTGGCAGCAACGCCTTGGGTTTTGCGTGGGAGAAGCTCGGGGAGAAGCAGATGAGTCCATGGTAAAGGCTAGTATCACAGTATCAGTGGTGAAGCGCTTGAGGAGTGAAGCCTGTTGCCTGTGAGAACAGATGAGATAGCACACAAAATAACTACAAGCACTTGCATTCGTTGACTACGAGCCAGTCCGATGCCTTTGTGGTGGCTTCGAAGATTCAGACCTTCACCCGCCAATCAACATGGCCACTGGTGGTTCCGGGGAGTCCCTTTACTGGATGTAGCTTCAACAGCAACGGGCAACAAGGCACAATTTTTTTTCGACAAAGGCTGTGAACCTCCGTAATCATGTCTCCCTTCACCATCCGCATCCCATTAGATACATCCCCAAAATGCTTATTATATTTATACCGCCAATATCACAGAACCTTGCCCTACAATTGCTGGATACCCGATATACCCTCGTCATGTGTTTCAAAAATCCGGGCTGCTAGTTGTCAATTGGTCTTGGGATTTGAGTTGAGAGTTGTGAGGCATTTGTGGCTGCGTTAGAACTGGGAAGTGTTTGAAGCGCCTCCAAACGTGTATAGGAGTATAGGAGGGTTGCATTCATATGCGGGCATGCTCAATAGGGGACCAAAAAGCGATACCCAAAACAACACGGTTCCAAAACACTGGAAAACGAGGACTGGGCTCACCAATCTAAGGATGCAACAGCCGCACATAATGGGTCCCTTGGACCATACCTCATAGAAGTTGCCCTATGAAGACAGACCCCAGGCAGTAGATGCCGGTTCCACCCTCAGAAGGGTGCTCGCTGCTAGCATTTGCATCGTCTTCCCTATCTGATCTGAGGAGTGCACTTGTACCCGTCGAGTGTCTCATGACCTGGGGCAGAACTCCCAAGGAGATCGCCAGAGAAAATGCGGATCGGTTGTTTTCCTCGATTGTTGGTGCGCCAGTGGAGGACCAATGGGATGTGTGTATATGTATTTATGTACTGTACATATACACCGCCAGGACAAAAGTTGGTAACAAACTAGGGAGTACATAACCTACAACCCTTATCCCTTAAAAACCTACAGGGGATCGCAGTGGAATGCCGGCGGATTAGTTTCCACTCCGAAGTAACTTTATATACTTGCTGCCTTAGGAAATTAACCCAAGGGCCCCCTCAGTTTGAAAATTAATTTATTTGGATTAATTGTCTATATGTTGGGGAGATTGGGGGGGGTTCTATAAAAATCCATGTGAAGTTAACTAGAAAAAGATCTTGATAGGATTAATTAGCTCATGAGGGGGTCGATTAATTAGCAATGAGGGAGCTGAAACTGAAGAGTGGGAGAGAACTAGAAAACCTCTGAATTTATTTTGGACTTGTGTTGTCAGTGCTTTGCTTGTTAGGTTCAGATGCGTTTTTCCTTTGTCAATACTTGAAGATCACCGGTTGTACCAGCTGGATTAGATTCCAGGGCTAGAGCCTGCTGGCTTTAGCCAGCTAGGAGTTTTATTTAGAGAAATTGTATGTTCCAGCAGGGCTGGAACAATGAAGTTTATCCAGGTGATGTTCGGGAAAAAAACAACAATACTTTGAAAAACAACACCCTGTCTGCACCATCTGGGTTCTTGTTAAAGGATTTGTTTAAAATCCTGGTCAGACCAGAAAAACTAAGGAAACAACTAAAGGAAAATTAGAATGTTAGACTCAAATGCCTAGAATTAATTACTAGAAAGGTAGCTCCAGGCCCTGCAAATTAGTTTCTCTGAGTTTTGTCATGAGACTCAAGCATAGTGGTTTAATTAAGTTAATCAAAAGTATCTTGCACTCGTCAAGTCTTGGATTAATTTCAGAATATTTACTGCAGGGGTAGTGATTAATTCTCCTAATTAATCTGGGGTAGGGGGTAGTTGACCCCCCCTAAGGTAGGAGGTATAACTTTATGGTTTTACAATTTAAATAGCTTTCGGGTGGAAACTAATCCGCCGGAATTGAGAAAGATATGTGACGTCAATGACATTATCGAGTGAAGTTGTTGCCAAACTTTCTTCCTTCTGAAGTAAGTATGTGTGTATGTATTCGTATATGTATATATGTATTATCCACCAAGGTGAATGGTCTGGTTGGGAAGGGACTCCTTGGGATGTGAAACATGTAAGTGTAGGGACTCACACTTTGATGCCATTTTGGCTCAAGTGTGGGTCAGGGTGTTTTCTTTTTTCCCCACCCTCCCACCCTTGACACCCTCTGCGGGCCCTATAGGGTGTGGTTAGGCTTCGTCTTGTGGGTATCCTATCTCACCCTGATACAGGTCTGAGTCCCTGCTATATGGGTTGGATGGCAAGTTCATCAAAGATGACTTACCAAGCTAGTCTGTGTGTTTGATACCACGGCTGAATCCCAGTGTTATTTAACAACACTTCTGTCCACACCCTGTGAGCTACTGAGGTCTAGGTACCCAGTTCTCCTGCACCTGCATCGATCGAGTCATGAGGAAAAGAGATGCTGCCTCTCTTAAGTTGAACCTACCTTCATGTTTCTATATATTTGCATATGTGTGTGTGAGTTCATATCCGTATATATATATGACATTACATGGATGTAGTGCCGGTTCGCTTGTGCGTCGCGTTTTGGATCGCTTGTGCGTCGGGTTTGCGTTGAGCGCAACATGCAATGTGCGGCCACTAAAGAGTAAGCTACTAAACTCAAATACGCCCGAGCATTAATGATTTGACTCTTAGATTCTTTTTGGGAAACTTAGCTGTTCAAAGATGTTCCTTGAAACAGAGGCCTGTACTAAACACATGTTTAAAACTATGTGGACAAACAGGCTGTCCCACTTGGTGGCGAACTCTGTGTGTCGGTTGTGCACGGATGTCGGATGTGATGATGTGGACATGGGCCAATCATTCCACTAGATCTTACCGTTATTGCCATCCATGCGCAAGTGATCCACTTTTTCGATGATCCTCCGATGCGCAAGTGATCCAGAAGTCGATGCGCAAGTGATCTCGCCGCCATTTGCACATGTGCATATGTACAAAGAAGTTTTGCATAGTTTCACTTACTGTACCAGACTTACCCTATAAGACTGCTCACAAGCAGAGTGCTTGTGGAGCCATATAGAAATATATACATGTGTATGCAGCTTCATTATGGAAAGTGATTGACTATTTGTACCAAAAGCCTTCGTACTCCAGGGAACGTTTGGAGGTGGAAGTGAGTGGCCACGTCACTGGTCACTGATTTTCACTTGGTTTCAGCCATGGCACATTGTATTTTGTGGAATTTTGTTAGGGTGTCCCATGACCTGTAAGAGTCGGTAAAGGAAGATCTGGATTTTTGTGAAAGGTCTTTACTAACCATCATGACCCACTGCTACTGGGAATGCTTATTTACTAAGTGTAAAGAAAATAATACTATTGTATATAGGTATAGCCACTATATATATACCTATAACTACATTATATATACAATATATATGATATATAACATACGTATATATATATACTATTTAGTACTACTATTTTCTTATTTGTTGCAAAGTATCATAAGTTGCGACTTGCGGGCAATCGGTTATAACAACCATTTTTGCAGTGAACTTTTTGTAGGTGACCCGGCTGATTCACCCTCCTATCATTTTCGAGATCCAGGGGTGACCACAGACGGCCCCATGCAGCATTCGGAATGCAGAAGCCTGCGTGACTGGGCAGTGACTGGTGCCATGGACATTCAGACCAGTAAGGAAAACTTTAGACTTGAATGTGAGGGGTGACATGGGCTATATATGACTCATTGCCGGAGACAAAGCCACTGAAACAGCCGGGTAGCAGGTAGTGCGGGATCAGAGGAACATGTACCTGAAACTCTTCCACCTTCCAGAGCGTCTTCCGCAGCGTTGGCTTGCCTGGCATGCATGAGATTGCACAAGCCACAATCGAAACTGGCCGCCTTTACAGGTCAATGAAGCGTTCCACCCAAAAGACTAAGGTGGGTGGAATTCATGCTGCGCTTTATTAGTTCCTGGCCTCTTAAGCTAGCAGCCAACTTTCCAACATAGAATCACCTCTTAACTCTTAAGCCAGTATTTGTTTGAAGTCGCCTCTTGAATCAGTACAACCCTTCTTATTTGCAAGCATGGATCGTGGGCTCACCATGGATGCCATGCTGGCGTGGGGACGCCATGGTGTTGGGAGAGTGTCCAAAGGGTGAAAGACCTGAAAAAACATGTTGGGAGAGTGTTGATTTGATCTCGCATTCCTTCTTTTGGAAGTTTGGTTTCGATTGATTCCAGCGTGGTTTCGGAGGAGATGGAGAGGCCTTCCTATTTTAATGTTTTGGGAAGTTGCGTGTGCAGTAAAGTGTGTTTCACACCCTGATAGCTGTCATGTTCATTGCAGAAGCTCAGGCAGCAAGCGGCCTCCTTGTTGGAAGGAAGTGACCCAGCTATTGTAGCTATGATCAAAACTCATCAAGTTTTGCCAATTTCTTTAGGCAGACGAGTTCCTGCTTTTGTTTGTGTGCCTGAGATGGCATGGGGTCACTAGCGGATCGAATCAACAGTCCAATTTATGGCAGGTGCAATTCCCACGCCCTTTTCTGGGTGATGGTTTCAGAAATTGTTTGTTTCATTTTGTTTCAACCTTTCTTGTGGTGATTGAACCCACTGACTTTTTCAAGTGAGCTGAAGCCACTAACCAGTTTTCAAACATGTCTAGACAACTACGCTGGTTTGATAATGTAGCACAACGAACATCAAGAAGGGCCAACTTTTTGTGGGCCAGGGGATCTATTTGACCCCTCGTACGTAGTGGAGCAAGCTTGGGGATGGATGGCATTTGGGTTTGTGAGTGAGAGCATTTTCTCCTTGGACCCTGCTTGTTACACTTTCCTTGTGCCTATGCTCCGGATGTATTCCGGATGTTTTTAACAAACCGCTTGCCTAATAGACGCAGCTGAACAGAGAGGAGCAAGGAGCAGAAACAAGGCACCCTTGGTTTGAGAGATGCAGATACGATACACCTGATGCACATTAGAAGCCATCGTCATATCTGCACTTTCCAACCTCAACTATGATAGTAAATCATCCCTTCCAATGTCCTGCAGCAGTTCGAGGAAATATCACGGTTTGTCTATACTTATATACATAAATCTTACAAAGGTGCAAGGTGCTAGCCAGAACTCGAAAGCTGCACAACACCCATAGCTTTTCCTGGCGCGCTAATGGGTTGGTATGATAAGCGGATATACGTGCTATAGTATTGTAAGCAGCTATTTGTGGTTGATAGCAGGGTCAGATCCTTTCCCAGAAGCATGCTTTGAGGTTTGGGCCCTTGAGCGGCGATGACATCTTTGAGAAGGCACACGGAATCCAATGTTGGTGCGAGCAAGAGTCAGCGGGTGATGATGAGGAAGGGGGCGAGGGCGGCAGCTCTGAACGACATGCTTACACAAGTTTGTGTATAATTGTTTGAGATAATACGTAATTATACTAGAAAGAGATGCCAACATGTCATACTCGTCTGATGTTTGCAACTTTGAGTGCCGTGAGCTATGTTTTTTCTGTGGGCAATGAAGCTGTGACCACTGAAACAGCTATGGGTTACTCTCTAGACCTGAAACACACGGTGCCTTGATATGACTTCCTGCGGCTTTTCTCGTGCCATGCGGGGTAAGTCAGTGATTTAAGCTAACGGAAGGACTCTGGAGGCGTTATTCATGATGAGAGTTTCTATTGCGAAAACGACTCTTGTATCTAGAGTTTTGCATAGTCATGCACCGGATCAACTACGCATTCATAACAACATTATATCCATGAATTATGTCATCTAATCAACCGGTTGGCGAGTGTGGCTTCCTGATTAATATGGGGCCCGCATGTCGAGAATCCTCGCAGGAAAGAGTGCGCCGGTTGACGAACATGAGCTCAGCTAGAATCTTCGCACGTTGGGTTTGGAGGGTCAAGACTGCCTAAGGAGATCGCACACGGTGCCGAAAGTGTTTGCTTCGCAGGATGGGCCGCCCAACGATTTGGCCCTTTCAGTCCACAAAAATATCACATGTAACATGCAATGCAAACACCTTCCGTAATTAACCCCAAAGCCTCGCACATCATGACATGTATGTTACATATTTTTGGCCGATCCTGTTCTGCGACCTGAACAATCGCTCCGGATTGTTTGACAGATGCTCAGATATATAGATGCAAGATGGCTCGAACATGGGGATGCTTCAGACTCCGGTATTTTCCCTCGGACATGCTTGGAGACTCACACATTGGCCAGGTCACCTCCGTGTGCATCGGTTCGGGCCGCTCAGAGTGGTGGTGTGAACATCGAACCGCAGCCCAGAAACGCCCAGAAGAATCATCACAGCCTTATGCAGCCTTCTAGGCTAGTTTGCACAGGTGTCGAAGCGAGATGCCCATGCATAGCCACCTCCAGCAGCAAATTGCTGAAAAGTTCGACACCCCAATGAAGAAGAATTGAGCCAGTTGAACCATACTTCAATTCACACGGACATGCGTTCTTGGGCTTCTTTTGATTGAAGAATGGCCGCAGTGGATGATACGGCTTGTCTCAATTTGACTTTGTCGGGCTGACTGGACCGTTGAAAAACCTTATGAGATCTTATGAGGTCCTCTACTACGACAGTTTTGCAACAGCCAGCTTTACCCTTCAACAAGCATGGAGGTGAACAGTGTGGGAAACATTGATGTTCCCCCAAAAAATCATGGAAGTGGACAACCCTCTTGTGAGGTAGAGGAAAATAGTCTTCCAAGGGGCCATGGTCCACTTCCATGTGTTTCTTTTCGGAGGAGGGTATCGATTTTTCCCAGGCTTTTCACTTCTATATTTGTTTGATAAACATGAATCATGAACATATAAACATGTTGGTGTTGGAGAGAGGGTCACCAACCATGGGTAATCCAACAAAGGCGGTCTTTTGTAGAAGTTGACCTTGACACTGTTTGGACTCGCACCAGGCACTGGACGCTTCCTGCGGGCCATGCCGGCACTCAGATGATGTGATCGTTGTCGAGCCGATGTGTATTTCTGTTGAGTCTGAAAAGAGCTCGAAACGTCTCTGGCTCACTGGTCCAACCTACCTGGTCCGACCCGACAGATTGCCAGAATTTGCCTGTTCTTGAGAGACTGGTAGCCCACTTGAAAAAGACACCTGTATGGCTCAAAAAGACACCAGCATCACGTGCAGGTCGATTAAGCATCATGATACTGTGGCATTTCTAGCTCATCCACTGGTTTTCGACCCACTTCTGGAAACAAGGCTTTGGGACACTGGGCCCCGTTTTTCGAGGGGAGGGGTTAGGGTTGTGAAGGGCACATGATTGTGTGTGAAGATGATCCCACACCCTTGCAGAGAAAATCCTCTCCCACAGAAAGTTGCTTTGCTCCCACAGATCTTTTGTGGAGTCTCGTTGTTGACTTACAAGACGCCGGTGGTGGCCTGTTGGAGGCTTGGCCGCGGAACTCACCACTCTCCAACAGATTATTTGCTGAGTGCTGAGGCTGGTGCCAGCTTTGGCGGAAGTGGGCGGGGAGATCATTCTGGCGAGGGAGCTCAAGGAGGGCATTATGATTCTAGCGCCAGAAAGAACAATCCACACTCAACAGTGGATGACCAGTGACCGGGTGATGCTTTTGAAGGTCAAAGGCCGGGCTGCACTGCACACGTTCTTTCACGGTGCTCAAGACACAGATCACGCAGCCTGACCGAGGCACAAACACGTGGCTCCAGTTTTCCGCAGTGCTTTGGCTGCAGCATTTCTCCGCGCTGATGGTGATTAGACTTGCACAGGGTTCTTGGGCATAGGACCTGCATGTCACTAATGACCTGAAATGCCCTCAGGGTGGAGATCCAATGTTAATAGCAGCGGTACACTGAACTTTGAAAGTTGGTGAAAGATGTTGTGCGTTGGAGGCTTTTCCTTCAATGCATTTGTGAACACATGCTCACACACACACGAGTTGGTCAAACATGTGAGGAGTCTTGATTAAATTGAAGAGGTGTGGTGAAGCCTGTGTTTCCCACACTTAGCAATGATCATACTACTGGAGTATGTTGGACTTGGCTTTATTGCAAAGGTTTTGTTGTGACGGTCCTTCCTGAGGTACGGGTCCCCGCGAAAACGAGACCCACGAGCAAGCCGTCCGGGACGGGAGCTCTAAGTCCTTCTTTGAGTTGGGTTTCAGGGTTCACCAATTGGGTCCCAGGGTCAGGGAACTTCTTGAACAAAGCCAGGATTTGAGATTTCAAATGCACCTCATGCCAACTAAGTGGAGCAAAGGGGCAGAGCTGGGCCAAGCCAATGTCCCCGACGCCCCGGCACTCAAAAGGCCACCTATGACTGATGACAATTGAACATCCCCTGAGAAGTAGCCCAGCTTCATGCTGGGGGTTTTCAGTGACTTTTGAGAATGTCCGCGAGACAGTGATCCAGGTACATGTTTGGGCGCCCAGATCGCTGCTACGAGGTGGACACCGTGCTTCAGGCGGGAAGTGGGATGAAGTGGGTGAAGCCACGGCCGAAAAGTTTCACCCGCAAAGAGGTGGGATGTTCACAAACGCAATAGTCTCGTGGATTCTGGTGGATTCTGGTGTTGAACAATTCATGCTGCTTGCCAACTGAACGACGAACGTGACGGAACGAGGTACATCAACATCCAAACCCAACTGTGTAGGAGCCGATGACGGGGTGGATATATAGACATACAAAGAAAGGGAGTGAGGGGTGACCGCTCCAAATGGTGGACACTCTCAGCCCGAATCAGGCTGAGAGTGTCCACCCTTTGGAGTAGCAGCATTTCAAGATCACCTTTCCGAACACGTGCCTGGGGGGGAAAGGACCAGTTCCAGGGCCAACCGTCAGCCTGAAACACTTGCTGTTAGAGGCTTATCCAGCATCTGCCCCTGAAGGGAACATAAAGTGCTTTCTATGAGTGCTTTGGATGAGGCATGGGGAGTGAGGTCACCCAAGCGCGTACGGAAGTGAAGTCAGGTGTTTTAGGTCGAAGACTGACGAAGTGGCCATGCCATGCCCCATGGCAAATGCCAGGAGTATATAGACATGAGATGACATGAGTATACCTCATCTGGGCCACTCTGCTGAGAAGCTGCGTGGTTATTGGAACCAGGTAGCCCACATCAATCACCTGTGGTGCATTTCCCATATTTCTTGGATATGATATGGGGAAGGTTTGAGAATCCAGACTTGTCTGGCTGCCACTTAATGAGCAAAAATTGATCACAGTCATGCTCGTGCCCTTTCTGAAATTTCTGGGAAGATACCCCCCCATGCTTACCTCTTCGTCTCGTCCTGGTGGCCATGGAACCATGGCCGCATAGTAGCCGCATAGCCATCTCGCCAGGATGGCCGTGTTTTGACATCTCTTTGCCCCATTGCAGCCTGTGGGACTTTGGGCAAGCGTGGAGCCCTGTGGAGTGGGGCCCTGCGGAGTGCTGGGGTCAAACAGTCATGGAGTCTTCAGAGTAACCCGTATCAACCCGTGTTACTCCATTGGTCCGTTGATTTTGTCCAACATGGCTCACAGAAACCATCAGAAACCATCAGAAACCATGAATCCGCTCAAGGAGTCTTTTGCAGGAAGTGTCTACGACCTAGCTCGGCGCCACCAGTGCTAGGTCGTCATAGTCGTGTCGTCATTCGCTACGCTGCTTTGATTTCACTCAACCCCTTGGAATGGCAGAAATCCGCAAAGTCTTCGCTTGAAGAAGCTGGGATTGGCCAGCTCGGCCACGCATCAAACGAGTGCACACTGTTCAGAAGTTCTCAGTGATGGCACTTTCTCGCACTGTCGCTCAATATCCACCTAGTTACATACCTACCCATCACCACTCACCCTTAAGGCATATCGTTTTCCCAACACCTTGAATCTTCGGTAGGTGCCGAGTTTCTCGAAGCCCAGCAAAGAACCACCCAAACCCGGAGTAAAACGGGTACTCTGCTACCGTACCGCGCTACCGGAGGCCCGAGGGCCGGAGCGCCTTCATGAAGCTTCCGGAACGCCTGCGGGGAAGCTCGGCTGGCCGGAGACACATGAGGAAAGCACCAGGTCCTCACTGCCTGGAGTGGAACGGAGGGGGTGGTGGGTTCAGAGGGTCAACTCTGAAGATTGTAAATTGGATCTGGGATACGGGATCCAGTGCAATCACCCCAAGTGGATTGATTGCCACAAATGGGAGTTTGATGCCACTAGAAACACTAGAGCTTTGTGGGAGAGCTTGCCTCGGTGACCATCATTCCCTAAGAATCCTTCAAAACGGCCTTGGGTGACCATGGGTGACCCCACCGTGTTCCTGTCCTTCCTCTATACCGTTTTGGCTGCGGTTTCTGCGACTCGGCTGACCCTTGGTTCAGCCTTCGTACCGCCTTCGCCTTCGCCGCCGAGCTCCAGGCCGAAGTTGGCGTACATCGGCCTCGGCCTCACAGAGGTGCCGGGTGGTAGATGAAGGTGTTTGTTTTCTCCAGTAGACGTGCCATACATCATGCAACATATAAAATGCACATCTCATCTAGATATGCCTCATCATATTTACAGTATATATATATATCATCATTACTATCATCACTATAGTTGTTACTCACCTCATATACTGGCACGGAGCTGGGGCCCGAGGCTAAAAAGTCGTCGTGGGAAATGGCCGGACCAGTCGCAAAGAGCTGAGAAAAGGGTCCAGCGGGTCACAGCCATGCTGGCGTTCATCTATAGTATCTATGGTGACCTGCAATTCCGATGCAATTCCTCTTCAGTGCATTTCTGGGAGAGAATTATGGCATGTGTTGAATCTGTTTGCTGCAGGTGCAGAGGGTAGCACTGGGCAGACTGACGGAAAACTTAATGGAATTGGATGAAATCAGTAGCAACACATACAAAAATATAACTATATACATATAGATATATCAACTTTGGGTCTGTCCTATTACCTGTAGCAGTCGTAGCCGTCGGTCAACAATGATCACCCTTTTTGGAGGAAAGGCCTGCAAAAATCACCATCATCCTTTGTTATTAAGATAATAGGATAGAAACCATTAGCCATTTACTTGTGGGTTTCCGTGCCCATTTCGGCAGGCTGGGATTGAGCACAACGGCCGCAGGGTGCCCCGATGTGCCCCCACACGGTGCAACCTCCACACTGTGTTTCTTTTTGGGGTGTGTATGATTGTCATGTGATGTTGTGTGTTGTGTGTGTGTGTTTTTTGTATGTGTCTTTTGGTGTATTTAGTCTTTGGCGGAGGGGGTGACCCGAAGACCACTAAAGAGCTTCAAATGTCCGAGAACATGGACATTTGCTAACTCCTGTTCGATTCACAGGTGACGAAGTCCGGACTCCGGTCCTCACGCTCATGACTCATCCCAGAGTCAAGTCATTTGTAGTGGAGGTACTGCAATGCAAAATAAGAAGAGAGGCCGCCAACAATCAACGTGTTCATACTTGTGCCGCAAAAGCCGCTGCTAGTAAAGTATCAACCACTCTTCCCGCTTGACTCTGCTTGAGCAGGCACACATTCACACCATGTAGGCAAACAAATTAGAAATCCCTGTGCAGAGATGCATGTGGTGAGCCATTATCCTCTCCCGCAATTGAAAGATCATTGACACAGCTGCGATTCAATCTGCCGTTGTCCCGTTGTCGGACACTGACCCCAGAAGTCACTAGCTTGAGGGCGAGAGTAGAGTATCTGAATGCCAGAGTGGACACAGAGATAGCGTCGAGGACTCCTGTGATCGGTCGAATGTTCCTCCACCACCTCCGGCACCGATTCACAGTCGCCCAGGCTCGATTCTTGATTTGGCAGAGTTCCTTTATGCCGAAGCCTTGGCATCATACTTCAACAGTGTTGTGTTGGAATAATCCCAGTGCAAGAACGCGCCGAACCGAACCAAGCCCCCCAAAGTACAGAGCTGGACTTGGTTCCCTAGCTTGTGGTTGTTCTAAACTAACCTTGCCTGGCAAAGAAAGACTGACACCCAAAAGCAGTGGTGGACCAAAGTAGTTTTGCAGGGTTGCGTTGCAACTTGTGACAATCTCGCCAGCCATCCTGCTGCATAGCCAGAGGATGTTAGTCGATCCGTGAGGTGCCCTTTGAGGTGCCCTATCCCAGATCAAACAAACTATGTCAAAACATGTCAAAGCCATGCAAAACTTTTTCTGCAGTTTTGGAGGCTGAACGCTGCTTCAGACTGTTTTGGTGTTCACTTGGGCCATGGACACTTCTTATTATCCCTACATCTTTCCTACTGTATAAGTGTTGACCGGGCTTCGGCAACACCACACCAAACGGAGGAGGGTGCCTTGGAAATGGGGTGTTCCTTCCTGGGCCCTTGAGTGAGGCATGCTTTGAATGCTCCAGCCCCAGTAGGCATGGCGCCCAGTGCTTTGTGATGCTTTGGATGTCGCCGTAGAGCTGAAAGATGTGACCAGATGCTAGAAACCTTGCCACATTCGATTAAGGCATCCGCATACAACAATCTAGCAACTTCAGATGTTGCATCTCATTTCCTGCAACCTCCACACCTTGTAGATTCGGATGAGCTAGCAACTAGATGGCACAAACCCACAGAGAGTCATGGACAATTATTGATCAAGTCCTAACCATTTGGAGGTGGTGCCCTGGAGCCTTTTTTTGCCCTATATGTTCTGCTGAGGTTTGTTCGGGGCGTTTGAGGCGCACCTACAGTGGCCTCGAGTT